GTGTTTCTCTGTATAACATCTCTTGCTGTCCTGGAACTTTCTTAGTAGATCAGGCTAGCCTTGAACTCAGAGATCCACCTGCCTCTGCCTCCCCAGTAGTGGGATTAAAGGCGTATACCACCACTGCCCGGCTGTAAAACAGTGATTTCTTTAAAAACATTATTTTATTATTTTATGGGTACAGATATTTTATCTGCATGTATGCTGTGCACCATATGCATACCTGGTGTCCTCAGAGGTCAGAAGAGGGCATCAGATCCCCCTGGAACTGGAGCTACAGACAGTTGTGAGGCACTCTGTGGGTGCTGGGAAAAGCAGCCAGTGCTCTTAACCACTAAGCCAACTCTCCAGCTCCCAAAACAGTGATTCCCTGAAGAGTCACCTGTAAAGACTGTCAGCTCGCCCTTCCGATGCCCCTTCAGCAGACGATTGAGGTCTGGGAAGCGACTCCAGCGGACACCAGCTGCTTGCTCCACATTTGATAGCTCTCCTAGAACCTCCTCACGGAGCTGACGGAAAGATACAATAGACTTGTGCCAGGCAGGAAGGGCAGTCCGAAGAATACGAGGAAGACTTAAGCCTTGGTTTAAGGCCTCCAGGGGACGAGGCTGCTGGTTACCAGGCCTCACCAAAGAACATCGCTTGGGGTTGAGTTTTCGGGCAAACAGTTTGGCTGCCTCCCAGGACCGAAGGTCATCCCCTAACCAGAACACAATCCGACGAAACTGTTCAAGGTACGGGAGTAAAGCTGGGGGTAAGCAGACCGTTCCTCGGGGCAGGGAAAGGGTGGGCAGCCCCATGGACTGGCTCAAAGCCAAGCTGTCCAGCTCACGACTTGTCAGGACCACCTCAGCATCTCGACGGCTGATCAGTGGTAATCCAAACAGGTTGTGGTAGGCTCCAGGTCGCGGGATGGTGGTCTCCACATACTGCACTCCATTCCCCTGGTCTTCAGCGCCTAGTAGCTTCAGGCCACGTATTCCTGTGCTCCCAGGGGTGAACCAAGGGAACACCAAACTTCGAGTAGATCGAAGATATCGGACACTGAACCTCCTGAGTGTGTCATCTGTCACCTTGGTAAGGCCAAACATCACTCGAGCCAGCCTGGCTTCCTCAGGGTCAGGCAGTTCCCAGAGTGGTATAGATCGGTTCCAGATTCTCAGGACCTCCTCCCTGTCCTCGGCTTCTGGGCCCACAGTAAGTAGGACTCCCTCTTTGGTCCCATCCCCTCGTCCCTCCACACTGGCCTGGAAGTCTTCCCAGCTCCCTTCTGCTAGGCTAGTCATGCAGAGGAAGTGTCCTGTGGTCTTGTCAATGAAGAGGCAGAAGGAAGCGGTAGAATCCTTCTGATTTTTGATGTCCGAGGACTCAACAAAGGGGCTTGGTGCTCGAAGACAGCTGTGGCCATCCTGGAACGGGATCCCATGAGCCCTTAAGTACTGGCGGATTTCAGTTGTAGTCACAGGCGACACTGGCACCTCTAAGGCTGGGAGAGCTTCCTTCCTGTACCTTCTGCGAGGAGGGCCTGGAGCCAAGCTTCGGGGCAAGCCCCTCCGACCCACCCACACCCCTCGCAGTGGCAGCAAGGTCCGGAGGGGATATGCACATCGGAGCAGGAGCCACATTCCTAGTGGAGTGGGATGCTGCCTCCTCCAAAACTTCTGGTATCTAGTTTGGCGCCCTTCACTAGGCCAGACCGTAGGAAGCTTCCAGGGGGCACTCACTAGAGTTGGCTTCTCTCTCTTCTCAAGTGTCTCCCTTACGAACACCCTTTCTTACTCCCTTGGCTTGCTACTACTCTACATCTCTGCACATCCGCACGACCCTTTCACGTCTCCGCCCCTCTCGAGGGCCTTTTCAGTTTCTCTCCACAAGCTCACTTCTCGGACCTCTCCGGCCCCTCAATCTAAACGGCTTCCCTGGATCATCTCCTCACCCCTACCTCCCCTCCACGGCCTCTCCTCGCCACCCTCATCTCTACAGCCCTCCGCATCCTGGCTGAACCTCAACGCCAGGCGTTCCCCTCCGCTCCTAGCACTCACTGGGACCCTCCCCACTGCTAGAGGTCACGAGCTGAGGCCCAGTCCTCTCCCTGCCTCCCGGGTTCTACCCTCCGCTCCGGCAACTCCACGCTCCCGCCCCCAGCCCTCGCGTCACTACTCCCTTTTCCACCCTTCTGTCCGCAACGTGGGTCACCCGCACGCGCCACGCGCTGTGACCTCGGAAGCAAAACTCCCCCGGGGAGCCCATGAGCCCGGAACCGGAAGTCGCTGGTGAGTCCCGCCCTCCCTCTCCCGGTCCGGGCTGCCAAGCGGTAGCCATGACTGCGCGCGGGACTCCGAGCCGCTTCCTGACGAGCGTCCTCCATAACGGGCTGGGTCGCTACGTGCAGCAGCTGCAGCGCCTGAGCCTCAGCCTCAGCCGGGATGCTCCCTCGTCCCGCGGCGCCAGGTGAGGGCCGCGGGAGCGGGAGGACCGGGGTGGGGTGGGGGGCGGGCACCGACGGGACTGGGTCCGGGTCACCGTACTCACCTTCGCTGGGCCTGGCAGGGAGTTCGTGGAACGCGAAGTGACCGACTTCGCCCGACGCAACCCAGGGGTCGTAGTATACGTGAACCCGCGGCCGTGTGCGGTGCCCAGAATAGTGGCCGAATACCGTGAGTGGGGCCGCGCCGGGGCGGGAGGGCGGGGTCCCGGCTTGCCCGCTGGGTTCTTCTTGTTGAACTTCCGACCGGGCCGTTTGCACTCATTCCCACGTCCCTCTGCCAGTTAACGGGACCGTGCGCGAGGAAAAGGTCAACAGCAAGTCGGTGGAGGAGATCACATCACTGGTGCAGAAGCTGGCAAACCAGTCCGGCTTGGATGTGATCCGCATCCGCAAGCCCTTCCACACGGACAACCCTAGCATCCAGGGCCAGTGGCACCCCTTCACCAATAAACGGACGGCCCTCCACGGGCTGCGGCCCAGAGAACTTCATGATCCTGCTCCAGATTCGGTACAAGCACAGTAAAGAACCAGGCTTTGGACAGTGAAAGTGATGAAATTGCTTCCTCTTTCGGGTTTCAAGCTCAGGCCAATAAATGGAGACTACCAGCGGGGGCGTGGCCCGGGATCAAGAAGAGCTGACTGTTACCACTGCTCACTGCTAGCTAGGTACAGTGACCTTGTGAATACCCTAATTCTGATTCTGCTGGCCTCCTTACAAGCTGAGATGTGAAAAGGCTTCCAAGTGTTGTACAGGGTCCTTGTTTTGTGGAATCAAAATAATAATGATTTCAAAACGCAGTGAAGGGTCCCAAGGCTGGCTTCTGAAGAGCCCGTGGTGTCCGGTTGCTCTTGCTGTGGCCTGGCGTTGGGCAAGGCACCTTCTATCTGTGTTTGCGTGCAGATTGGAAACTGAAGTCATTAAACTTACCTAAGACCACATTTGGAGATTTATATTTATCATGTGTATAGGTGTTTTGCCTGCTTGTATGTCTGTGCGCCATATGCATGCAGTGCCCCCTGGAGGCCAGAAGACGGTGGACGGTCCCCTGGAACTGGAGTTACAGACAGTTGTGGGCCACCTTGTAGGTTCTGGGAATTGAACCTGGGTCTTCTGAAACAGCAGCCAGTGCTCTTAACCACCTAAGTCATCTCTCCAACCCCTCAAGGTCATGCTTCAAAATGTGCTTTTTTTTCAAGACAGGGTCTCACTATGTGGCTTTGGCTGTCCTGAAACTCTATGTACACCAGGTTAACCTCGAACTCAGAGAGATCTGCCTGCCTCTGCCTCCCAAGTGCTGGGACTAAAGGTCTGCACCACTATGCCCAGCTCAAAATGTGTGCATATTTTAAGCATAAGCCTTCCTTTTGATTCTAAAACCAGAAACAGAACACAAAACTTTTCAGTGGTTAGTATCAAAGTCCTAGGTGCACTCCTACCCCCAAATTCTTTGCAGAAATAAGCATATATCTTCCCCTGGATCGAGGAATGGGAAGTGCCGAAAAATGTCTTAGGGAAGAGCACAAGGACTGGCAAGAAGTATCTTCCAGCCTTAGACAAGGCAGGGGCTAGAGGCATGGCTCAGAAGTTGAGAGCGTTTGCTGCTCCTCCAGAGGACTCAGGTTCAATTCTGAGCACCCGCATGGCGACCTACAACTGTCTGTAACTCTAGTTCCAGGGGATCTGACTTTCATGGTCTCTGAGGTACACAGGCTGCATACAGACAAAACACCCAAACATGGGGGGGCGCGGTGTTGGCAAGGAAGGGAAAGGCCTTGGTGTGGTAGTACAGCTTCTAGTCACCAGCACTCAGAAGGCAGAGGCAGCCAGATGAATGAGTTTAATGCTAGCCTAGTCTCTACATAGAGAGTCCCAGGCCAGCCAGGGCTACATAGTGAGACCAAGTCTTTTTTTAAAAAAAAAAAAGGCAAGGCTGGTGACATGGCTCAGTGGGTGAACAACCACTGACAACCTGAGTTTGATCCCCAGGACTCACACAGTGGAAGAAGAAGCCAACAGATTCTCCTGAGTTGTTCTCTGACCTCCATGCACACACCCTGGCATGTATGAGTACATGTGCATACAAACAAGTGTTTTGTTATAATCAAGGAGTGGGGTGTGCTGTATATCAATAGTCCCACATATCCTGAGGCTGAGACAAGGGAGGATCACTTGAACCCAGGAGTTTGTAACCAGCCTGAGCCAACAGTGAGATCCCTACCTGAGCAGATAAAGCCAGAGGCAGAGGGCCGGGAGCAGAAAGCTAGGAGTCTTGTGAGTGCTTGAGCTGTTGTGATTTTGTCACCCTCATCATCAGTGACTAATGTGAGCCTCAGCCCATGGCCTCTGAGCCTACCAGCTCAGTACGAGCAGGAGGGGAGGATCTCATTCCTTATGTAAATATTTGTATGAGGAGCAAAGCCAACCCTAGATGAGGAAATCGCTGCAGCACCTTCTCCTTGGGCCAGAAACCGATCCCTGGTAAAGCCAGTCTAGACCAAGCAGACACTCAGAGCCGTGGGGAAAGGGCTTTTATTAACCAACATGAGGAGGAGCAGAGCCCAGGCTCCCCATTCCGTCAATGCCTGTTCCACCCACCTGGGTGATGAGAGGGGGCATTCCTCAAGAAGTACAGCCATTCTTACAATAAATACATTCATTGTGGGGTGGAGGTGGGAGAGGTGTGGGTGAAGGGCAGTAAAAACTCGTGGAGTTCCACGTTCTCAGCTACAAAAATAACAGTCATCCTCACCCAAGGGGAATGGGAGAGCTCAGTCAGAGTTGATTGTCCCATACGGGCCTGGAGACATCTGAGGCCCTTGGACCTTGAAAGTGCCCTGGTGAGGTAGGACAGGAGTGGGAGCCAAGCATCCAAACTCCCAGCCTCTGCCCTTTGCATAGTTCCAAGAACGGGCTTCATGTGCCAGGTGAGATGTAGGATCACTTCCCCTGCTCTGGTCTAGGAGAAGCAATTGCTTGGTCCCTAAGAGGGAGGCTGGCTCATTGAGTGCAGTGTTGGCCACTTGTCCTAGTTTCGTAAGGACAGCTAAATGGGAGGGGACGTCTCCCTTTGAAATATCCATGGACCAAACCTAGTAGACACAGGTCTGACTGAGGCAGCAAGGGGAGCTTCCGAGTGTGCATGTGGGTGGGAATGGAAGCAGATGACATGAGTGTGTCACCACACATGCACAGGAGAAGGACGTGCCTGGAGCTCTGGCACTCTCGCATGTGAATGAGAGCAGTGGGGAGGCTGACTCACAAGGGCTACACAGGAAGGGAGAGGAGGGGAGGGATGTTTCTTACCTCCCAGGCTGGCCTATTCCCAGACTCCTGCCAAAGGGTTACCACATGGGGCTGGGACTGAAAGAGGACTAGATAGGAAGGTGACAATTGGGAGGGTGGTCCCGAATCTAGAAGGAATGAAACAAGGTGCCCCACGAGGCAGGGCACTGCAGCCCAGCTGGTAACCATTCTTCCGTGTGCACATGGGAATGTAAGCAGGACTCAGGTGGCTGGGAGAGAGAGAGGTCTTGTCTGAATTCAGGACTACCCAGCACACAGAGCTATGCAGAGGGTGGTGACATTGAGGCCATCTGGACCTGCAGAACCCTACCTGAGAAGAAGAGGAAGGTTGGGCAGGTAATGGGGTAGGAAGACAGTCCACTCCTCCCAAGCTCTTAGGTTAAGGGATAGAAACTGGGTCTGGGTTTGCAGAGTACTTGGTCCTGAGGGAGCACCTACCTTTGAGGAGCACCGGTAGGCCTGGGCTGCTCACATGTGTGCCTTGGAGACTGAAGAGGGGATTTTGGCTAACCATGATTCTGGCCAGCCCTACAGAGACATCAAAAGGTTGGGGGAGGGGAGTGGAGCTGGGAGCATGAAGGAGGGTGGCTGTGTTGGGGAGGCAGAGGCCCAGCCTGGGGCAGACAGGCTGGCTTGGAAGAGCATTTGTTTAGGAGGCTAGGCTCAGACAGAGCTCTCATCTAGCTGCTCTACAAGCTGTGTGTGTTTCCTCTTCTCCAGGATGCGGCTGAGCTCCTCGGCAAAGGAGCAAGGTCCTGCTGGCACTCCATTGTTGCTCTGCCTCAGGAGCACATAACTATTGCCATTCATCCTCCGAAGGCGGCTGGGCAGTGCCACCAATCCATTGGTCAGCTCAGCCGGGGGTGGGGGTGGGGGTGGAGGGGGTGGGGCTGGGGCTCCTTCCCCAGGGATGATCTGGAGGCAGCCACTCTCCAGGCCCCCAGCCCCCTCCCCCTCGTCACCTTCATCCTCCTCTCCAGGACACTGGCCTGAGACTGTCTGCAGCTGCACAGCGGAGCCCCCTGCCCGGCCAGCCCGACCCAATGAGTATTTTCGCCTTCGACCTCGCCTGCCTCCCCTCAGACATGCCACATAGAGGAGGGAAGATGCCAGGATGAGGCAGAGGCCACCAAGTACAGCAATGGCCACCACATACAACACCCTCATGTCATGTGCCAGCTGGGCCCCATGTGTGGCAGGGGCTTGTGGAGCTGGGGCAGGGGTAGCCGGCCGGACTGTGAGGCTGTAGGAAGCCAGCAGCATCCGGAGACCATTCTCCTCAGCATAGCAGCCGTAGCTGCCACTGTGCTCCAGTTGTGTGTCTGTTACCAGCAGCCCATCCACTCCTACTCGGTAGCCGTCCTGCCCATCACTCAGGATCTTGCTCCCATTGAGTAGCCACAAAGCTCGGGCCAGGTTAGATGGCTGGTCACAGGGCAGGAGGACATCATCACCCCGGAGCACAGAGCGGGTCTTGAGTGGTGGTGGTGGTCCTGGGGAGGATGGGAAAGGAAAGGTCAATATCTGCCCATGCTAGACAGCATTGGAAATGGCAAGACAGCTTGTAGACAGCTAACTTCTTGGCACCAGGCACAAAGTCTAGAATCGGTGCAGCTAAGCAAGCCTGTGAGTGCATGCTTCTCAGGGTGCCACTGGCCCTTCCTAGGAAGTAGGCAGCGTCTTGGGCCTTTTCTCCTTTTACCTCTAACTCCTCTCCTGTGGTTTCAGTTCCCGCCATCTACCAAGGACTCCTACTCTTTACCTTCAGCACAGCTTCCTTTCCTCAACACCAGACTTGAATGTTTACCATGTGCTGGGAATCTCGCTAAGGCCAAAACCTCATTCATCAACCACACCAGGTCCTTTCTTTGAATTGCTACCAGCAGCTGCCCAGCAGTGTACCTCAGGAGCCAGGAGTCTCCCTTGCCTCTCTTGCTCATGTCTATCCTCATGAGACTCTCAGACCCGTTTGCTTCTCTCCTTCCACAGCTGCCTGCCCTCTAGGGCCCTCATTCAGTCTCTATTCCTTGCAACTATAGCTAATCCCTTGAAAACACAAATCTAGACTGAGGAGATAGGTCAGTGAGTCTAGGTCTTTGCTGCCAAGCTTGACAACCTGAGTTCAATCTCTGGGAGCCACATGTAGGAAGGAGAAAACTGACTCCCATAAGGCATGTGCACATCCACATCACACACATGCTTGTGAGCAAACTAAACATAGTTTTAAAAAAATTATTTTTCAAGACAAGGTTTCTCTGTGTAACAGCCCTAGCTATCCTGGAACTCACTCTAGACCAGGCTGGCCTCAGACTCACAGAGATCTGCCTACCTCTGCTTCCCGAGTGCTGGGATTAAAGGCGTGTGCTCCACCGCCCGGCTTAGTTTAGAAAATTTTAATACAGGGGCTGGAGAAATGGCTCAGTGGTTAAGAGCACTTGTTGCCCTTGCTGCAGAGGCCCTGAGTTTGGTCCCAGCACCCACATGGTGGCTTACAAGCACCCCTAACTCCAGTTCCAGGGAATGCAACACTCTCTTCTAACTTCCATGGGCACCAAGCATGCACATAGTGCACCTACATACATGTAGGCAAAATGCACTCATAAAATATTTTTTTAATTTTTAGAAATAAGCCAGGCGGTGATGGCACATGCCTATAATCCCAGCACTTAGGAGGCAGAGGCAGGCAGATCTCTGAGTTCTGAGTTCAAGGCCAGCCTGGTCTACAGAATGAGTTCAGGACAGCCAGGGCTACACCAAGAAACCCTGTCTTGAAAAACCAACAAATAGATAAAAAGCAAAAAAATGTTTAGAAATATGAATGTGATCAGACTACTCCCTGGTGTAAATCTCTTCAGAGGTTTCCTGTTGCTTTTCATTTAAGGACCAAAACTGTTGCCATGGTCCCTGCTCACCTCTCCAGTCTTTCCCTCCTGAGTTCTCTCTTCCTGCTGACCTCGCTGCTTGAGTGTCATGGCCCTCATGCTCCCACCCGCCTGCTTAGCTTAGAGACGGCACAGCTTAGTTAGCCAGGCTAACTCTGACCCTGCCGCTTCGTAGTTGAGTAACCATGGACAGTTTCCTTATATTCCCCATGCTTCAGAAGGGTTGTCCCTCATGGGGATGATAATGGTGCCTCTCACAGAGAATGCTGTGAGAACAGACACATGGAAGTATTTAGATCAGTGCTTGGCACATTAGTACTCAGCTCTGATTAGTGACTTTTTTATTCCTTCAGCTATCAGCTCTGCTACATGATTTTTCTTTGGAGAAAAACACATTACCCTTCTGCACCTTGTTGTAGTTGCAATTATTAATAATTATAGGTAGATATTTGTATTTATATCCCCCCACCATTTAGGCATGTAGTTTAGAGGTGATCATAAAACCATTACTAACTCACTAACTCCCCACCCCCATCTGTTTCTGTCTGTCTTACTCTGTGTGTGTGTGTGTGTGTGTGTGTGTGTGTGTGTGTGTGTGTGTGTGTGTGTTGCTAGAGAGTAAACCCTTGTGTCAGGCAGGAAGAGCTCTCTACCAATAAGTGACATCCCCGACTGTCTCCAAGTCTTGAGCCTGTGTCCTCATTTATAGTTTATTTGATTAAAAAAAAAAAAACAAAACAAAAAAAACCTATGGAATACTTGTCCTGTGCTGGGTCATCCTCACCAAAACCACACAAGCACAGCCACTCAGAAACATCCACACAAGTCCATGAGTTCCATTTACCTGTATCCCTGCTGCCCTCACAGCCTCGATTTCCTCTCTCTATGTCCTGTATCAATGCTGTCCTGAGGACAGAAAATCAAGATTCATGAACAAGGAGAAATGTGTAGCAGGATTACCAATAACAGCTCACATCCCTTAGGGGTTGGTGGGCTTTCCTCCTCCGTTCAGGGCACATGTACCCCATCCCTACTTCCAACCTCTACCCTGGGACCTGTTGGCTATGGTGGTGGCCACCATGCAGGCGTGGGTGCTGGAGTCCCAGCCACAGTAGGGGTCCCGTGCTAGGATGCAGTCATAGCAGGAATGGTAGCGTGAGCAGCTGGACAGAGGGAACTGGATAACTCCACTGGCAGCTCCCACGTAGAGGCTGTGCTGGAACCAGAGAGGACAGTCGGTCAGCAACACCCCAGTCTCTGCCCAGTCTCCCCAGTCCCCTACTCTGTTAGCATATTGAGGCCAGAAGTCAGTTCTACCTGCATCGGAGAGACGACTAGATTGTCCACAGACTGGGGCTCCCTGAACACTTGTGTCTCTTCGATAATGTGCATCCCAGAGCCCAGGACTACGGCCTTGTGGATCCAGCCATCAGCTGATGTAGAATGAACAAAAGTCAGAACCCAGAGTGTGATCTGCTCTCAGTACCCCACAGGAGTCCTAATGGGAACAGCTCAGGAATCATAAGGTTAGAGACAAGGAATCAGCCACCAGCAGTGGTCCCTCAGGACACTGGACACTCCAGGCCAATGTAGCAGGAACTACTGTGTTCGGATTTATCAGTAACCAAGGCCATTAGGGATCAGGGATTTGGGTCAGAAGCACCTGTGCCCAGAAAGAGCAGGTCATAGGTGGGTCCAGCAGGTGTGACGACGTGTGTTCCTGTGAGATGTGTGTAGCGTACATTGCGCTTCAGCAGCAGGGGACGCCCACGTGTGGGCACCACAGGCCGAGCCATCAGTGGGTGCAACTTCACAAAGTCCAGGACCAGGGATGGCAAGTCTTGGGATGAGTTGTAGCCTCGACTGCGCAATGAATCTGTAATGCACTGAGTTGGGGGGTGGGGGATGAGCCTCAGGACTCCACCACCTGCCTCCCTCTTTATAATGCTGAACTTTCCTCCCCTCCCAAGGCTTTGTCTACTCAGCATAGGTCCCAGTCCTGAGTGCTCACCGAGCCAGGTCGGGGTTCAGGCACCCCACCCTCATAACGACCCCAGCGGCGGGCACCATCTTGGTACTCCATGAAGGGGCCTGTGAAGACAGCCTGCATCTCAGCCAGGTCATAGCGGCAGATGGCTGAAGCCTCCAGGGTCTTCCTAGGAATGGGACATGGGGGAGGACTTAGTCACAATGAATGGAGCCTGCCCCCAACCCACGCTCCACCTGGAGCTACTGTTACCATGGTCCATCTCCACGTCAGGCCTATGGACCTGTCTTGTGCATCAGTGGACCACAATGCCCTCTGGCCCTAGGATGGTTTGACATACCTGACTTAATTTTGCAGCCTGCTCTCTCCCTAACAGATCATATGTGCTCATCATTGACCTCAGCTCCAGCTCTGAGATTTCCTCAGTTCCTTTCCTTTCCCAGCACTCCTGAGCTTACCACTGTGTTGTCAGCGTGAAGACTGCATAGAAGTGTGTGGGGGCCGATGAATCTGCATCCAGGCTGCAGACCCCACGTAGTGTCTCGTACTGTGGAATGTGGCAGATGAGACGAGCCTTCAGGAAGGATGTCCACTTCTTCTGCAGGATCTTTTTTCCTCCCAGATCTCCCTGGGGAGGGAGGGACACAGGCTCAGGGTCCGAGATCTAGCCTTTCCCCACACCCTGACTTCATCATATGCACCTTGCACACACGGGCGACTCTAGCCACACGGTGGCTGCTGCGACCCTGACTGAAGCCGCTGGAGCCTTCCTCACGCTCCATGAAGAAGTAGTAAATCTTGTCATCGTCACCCACGGCACTGGCCTTGCTCTCCCGCACCAGAGCAGAGAATACAAACTCAGCATCTGTGGGATGAGTATTTGGGTGGCTTATGAGACAGCCTGATAACTCTCCCTTAGCCACGCCCCCTCCCTCCATAATACACAGGTGCAGAATGGACAGGCTCACCTGGAGACCTGGGAATGGGATAGTCATCTGCCCCAGGGAGAAAATAATAAAAAATAGACCCGACCCTCCCCTCATCCTGTGCCTCATCCTCCTAACCATTGAGCCAGTGCATGGGCGCCTCCTCAGTCCTCAGGGAGTGTGGGTGGCGGCTCCGGCGGATGTCAGGAATGCTCCGGAATTCATACCGTGTGGCTGTGTAGAGGCCTCCATCTGAGACAAGGACATCCAGACATGAGATACATGTCATGTACAACAGGGAACGTGGCATGCATAAATGGCAAATGCTAGCAACAAGATCCACACTCAGATCATAGCATTCCTGTGGTTGAGGACTGGCGGCAGGAGTGCCTGCTCACCGATGATAAGGCCTGTGAAGCCACGGGCTGGGTCATAAGGACATTTCTCCTTTCCCTCCTCGAAGCTAGTAGGCAAGATGAAGGCCTCAGCATCCTGGAGAATGAGGGTCCCAATCAGTCAATGGTCCTGAAGACAGGCAAAGGCTGCAGCCCCAGGTCAGGCCAGTCTGGGGTTAACCGTCAAGGCCAGGGGCAGAGATACTCACAATGGCTGCACAGAGGGGCTGGAAGGCGTGGGTCCCACATGCATAAAAGTGGGTGGCATTGAGGCGCTGAAGGAATCGCACATGGTTGAAACACTCGGTCTATGGACAAAGGGAGGCAGTGATAGAAGTCCTCTGCCTGGATACACGCCATCTCTGTTAGTCTAGCTTTGCGGTCTGATTCTTGCCCCCCACCGTGAGGATATACTTTCCAAGATGCCTCCGATTACCTGACTCTACTCTGACAGCTTCTGTGTCTGTCTTTCCTGCAGTCCCTTCCCCCTACTCTTCAGGAGCCATTGGCACTCAAAGGTAGAGAGCATTTCAGGAGAATGACGGCAGCTTGACATGAGCTCAAAAGTTACCTTTTTTTTTTTTTGAGACAGACTTTCTCCATGTAGCCCTGGCTGTCCTGGAACTCACTCTATAGACCAGGCTGGCCTCGAACTCAAGAGATTCACCTGCCTCTGCCTCCCGAGTGCTGGGATTAAAGACCTGTGCAACTACTGCCTAGCTCAAAAGTTACTTTTAAGCAATGTTCCTCCCTAATCCTGGAGCTCCCACAAATCCTAACTCTCTCTCTCTCTCTCTCTCTCTCTCTCTCTCTGTTGCCTCACAAGCAATATCAATCTCACCCTGTCCAAGAGCAAGCTCCCATTTTTCCTGACCCAAATAGTCCCTCTTAAACCTGTTTATCCAGTCTTTCCCCCCCTCAACCTGCATCCACCTTGCTCTGATCCAGAAGCATCTTTGCTGCTGCCGCCCACTCTCACCCCCACATGCAGTCCCTCTCCATGATTCACTGTGCCAAATGGTTCTTGAACTTGGCTCACGTCACTATTTTCATCCAGTACAGATAATCATCACCTCTTCCTTGGACCACTCCAGTGGCCACCTGACCCCCTCCTAACCCGCCATGCTACTCTTTATAACAACTGTTCACTCAGTGAGTGAGGATGCTCCAGAGTAAAATCCAAACAGCACAGGGGTTCTGTTGTCAACAGCCTCTCGTGTATTCCTGTCTCCCAGGGGGCCTGCGAGGGGGACCAATGCCACCATGTCCGAAGTTTCCTTCCAGAGACATTCCGTCTGTCAACACCCTCTCACTCCCATCCAATCCACTTCCCAAAGCACCACAAGTGCAAAACAGACCACGGCATGGTGGCAGCTCCCTATGCTTGTTCCACGCAGTCTCACACGCCCCCGGACTTGTTCCCTGGATGCTCACTTCATGACTCCAGGCACACTGGCTTTCTCCACACCCCTCGGGTGCCCTAAGTTGCTGTCCAGTTCTCTCCGGCCATCCTCCCACCTGTTACCCAGAGTTTGAATCCATGGAGGACTTCAATGTCCACTTTGTCACCCGCTGCGGCCATTGTCTACATCTGTTCCTTGTCAGCCTGCTCAGGCCGTCTTTCTAACCCCTAGGATGCCCCGAACTTTCTACTGTTCTTCCTGTCCCTAGACTCAGTCTGTTTTAATCCATCTGGCACATGGGGTGAGACAAACATTCCTAGAGCAGCTCCCTAAGACAGCAAACGGGCCGTTGGGGAAGAATTCTGTAGTCAATGAGCTTGGAAAGCAGACGCATCTGTCTTTACCGGGTGACTTCTCAGAGCCTTAAGGGTGTCACTGTGCACTCTGTAGGAATGCTGTCCTTCTCACACTTACTAGACTGTAGTGCATAGCTGTTCCAGCTATGACCTTGAAGCACCGACCCTAGTGAGGTAGCAGGTAACTGTTACACCTGCCTATGACCTTGAAGTACATGGCCCTGGGGCCGCTCGAGACCCTTAAGACCTGGGATGCACATATGCGGCCCTCTCTTTGCTTCCTTGTGGTTTTGGATGTTGGAGACAGACCAGGCGAAAGAACAGTGCGGGACTGTGCCTCAGCCTTCCAGGACCCTGCGATAATTCCTCTGTTCTGTATCGTGAGTTTCCCTTCTCTAATATATTCCTTTGCCCTTTAAGCAGACTCTGTGGATTGCTAGCAATATCTCTACCCATTACTAGCCCACTCAGTTCCTTCTTTGAAAATGAATGTCAGCCGGGCGGTGGTGGCGCACGCCTTTAATCCCAGCACTCAGGAGGCAGAGCCAGGGGGATCTCTGTGAGTTCAAGGCCAGCCTGGTCTCCAAAGCGAGTTCCAGGAAAGGTGCAAAGCTACACAGAGAAACCCTGTCTTGAAAAACCAAAAAAAAACCAAAAAAAAAAAAAAAAAAGAAAAAAAAAAGAAAATGAATGTCCTTCAGGACAATGCTTTGGGACATGTTCTCTGATACTTTGCTGCTCAAAGTGGTCTGGGAACCAGAGATATCAGCTTCAGTTGGCTTTCTAGAGCAGTAATATCTTGGGTCCTTTTCAGACCTAATGATCCGGAACCTATGATTCATGTATGAGGGCCTCTAAGGCATCGAACAGTATGGGTGTCATTGCCACAATAAAGTCCAAACCCCTCGTTGGCATTTATGACACTTTGTGTCCTGGGTTTACCTACCCCACTAGCTCTGTTTATTAACCACAACGCAGTGAGATAGTCTCTGATGGAAAGTCCTAGAGGGGCACACCATAGACTCATTGAGTCAGAATCTCTAGGTTGGTGGACCGTGAGATACTTTTGCTTTTGTTTTGAGACAAAATCTCATACACCCAGGCTAGCCTCAAACTTGTTTGGGGCCAAGGCTTTCCTTAAACTCCTAATCCTCTTTCATTTACCTCCCAACTGCTGGGATCATAGGCATGCACCACCAGGATGCCCAGTGTGAACATGTACTTTCTGTCTATAAGTGTGTGTGTGTGTGTGTGTGTGTGTGTGTGTGTGTGTGTGTGTGTGTATCCTCATCCTTCCAAGGGCCAGGATTACAGGCACATGCATCATAACTGGCTTGGAATGTGTATTCTTTTCATTATTTCATGTATGTATGTATGTGTATGCCTATGCTATGGCACACATTAGAAAGACGATCAGAGGGCCATCTGTGAGAGCAGGTTCTCTCCTGTCACTGTGTGAGCAGTCAGGCTTGGTGGCAAGTGCCTTAACCTGCAGAGCCATGTGGCTGGTCCAAGAATGTGTATTCTTCAAAAGCTCTCCAGCCAGGTGTGGTGGCACACACCTTTAATCCTGGCACTTGGGAGGCAGAGGCAGGCAGATCTCTACGAGTTTGAGGCCAGCCTGATCTACATAGTGAGTTCCAAGCCAGTTAAGGCTACATAGTGAGACCCTGTATCAAAAAACTCCAAAATATGTACATAAATATAGGAAACTCTCCAAATGGTTTTTACATAGCCAGCCACAATTCCCCGCCCCCGGACACCCTGCTTTTTAGCTAGAAAGGACTAACGCTTGACTAAGGTCCTTCTACAAACACCAGGTACTTGGACTAGTGTTCCAGCAAAGTCTCGTTTTTCCTATCTGTGAAATGGGGGATAATAATGCATCATAGGATTGTCTTAGAACTAGATCTAGTTGTCACTCATCATCAGCTACTTATTGTTATGATTATAATTTGAGATTCCCCTGAGGCAGGGGATTAAGATACTGTAACAGGCCAAGTTATAGACCACGGATGGTTGGGGTAGAAGGGTTACCCCAAGGCCTGCCTTTCCTTATGTTCACTGTGGCTGTGTAGCTGGCTGCAGCACATCTGTACCACTCCATCTGTGTCCCTTCCAATTCTGGCACCCCCTGGTTGAGGAGGAAGAAAGGAGAGCTGGGGACAGGGCGGACCACATACCTGGTTGTTTTTCCCTTTCTGATGACACTTGCTTTGCATCTCTGGGGAGGCCTCCCAGTGGATCTAGTGAGAATAAAGGGAACAGACTGCAATATCGAACTCAATATCCACTACCCAGAGAATCAAACAGTGGGCCTCCAGAGTACTGGAAAAACCGGAGTGGGGCGAATTTCAGAAGGAGCTCTAGGCTGGAAGGACAGTGCTATTGAGAGGCCGGAAGGCTGGAGAGGTCTCCAGGTAACTGAGGTCCTAGGGAGCTGGAGACCCTATGGTTGGTTCAGGTGCCAGGGGCTGACCTCTTTGTGAGCCCCATCTCCTATGTCACGGGCACTGAGAGAGAACAGGGCGCCTCGAGCCCCCACCAGCAGCCTTTCCGAAGCCTCCTCCAGCAGGAGCGTTGAGTAGTTCTGGGCTTGGCCCTTGAAGTGCCGGATCCGGGAGAGCTCTGGAACAAGAGAGGCAGTGAGCCATCTGGGGGCTAGTTCCTGCCCCCTGCTCTGGCAGCCATAGGTTGGGGATCTAACCTTCATAGGAGATGGTCATCCGAGGGGTGGCATCTAGCTCTCGGGATGGTCTCCGCAGTGAGGGTCCAGGGACTGCTGTTACTGTGAGGAAAGTGAAGAGAAGGGGCCAGAGCCTCCCCCACATCTTCCTGGGGAAGTTCAGACTAACAAGACCCCAAAAGCAGCCGGGGCCAGAGTCACAGGACAGGAGGGGAAGAGCAATCACTGGGATCAAAGTCCAGGTCGTGATCACATGGAAGGTCAGGGGTCAGGAGGCCATGGAGATCAAGTAGTCATGGGGCCATGGAGGATCCTGGAATGGGGGGGACATGGAGCCACAAGGTTGTGTGGCCATGGAATCACAGCTCAGAAGTCAGAGGGAGGGATGGGTCACGGGCCACGTGCCTTTCTGCATCAAAGGCAAATTCCATGGAGAGTGGGCATTGGAAGGTCCCAGCAGGGTTGTAGGCTACTGAAGGGGTCACTTTGCCCCCAACCAAGGGTTTGGGGGGAGTTCCAATTCTCTGTTTTCTGAAGGAGAAAACAAAACAAAACAAAAATCAAAATCCCTCCAAAATGGAAAGCCCTTTGATCTGTGTGTGGAAGATGGATGGCGTTACCCAGACTTCAGGAGGCACCGAAAGACTGAGGCCTAGCATCCCCAGAACTCCCACATCAGGACAGACCCACAGCTATTCTGTCCATCTCTGCCTTGGTAAAGAAGGCTGTGGCGAACTTACTCTCTTTACAAGACCCTAGACTAGCTTTAACCTATGCCCGTGGTAACAGCCCTCACACAGTCAGAAGACTGCTTGGGACCATCTTGGTAGAGCATTGGTTCTCAGGCAGGCCTGTTCCTCCAGCAGCCCTGCCTGTGGGGGTGCCTTCTGCAGGAAGGCCTGGGCAGAGGCAGTTAATGGGCCTTTGTTAATTTTGTCCTGTTTTCCTTTTGTTTTTTCTTTCCCATTGGCCTGAGAGCTCCCTTTGGAATTTCTCTTTAATTAGACACTTCTCTCTGGCATTTTTCTCTGAGGGGGTGCACATCTCTGCCCTGCCCATGCGAGTCCATACTGCACCCTCTGGCTGGGCATCTACACGAGTCCCTACCTGCTGGCAGGCAGCACAAGCATGAGGGGGTGGGAGTGAGGCACGGGTATCTCGGTCCCTGAGCTGTACAAGGGTAAAGTCTGTGCCAGAGACTGCAGTGTGTGCATGACCAGTTAAGACCTAAGCAATGTGGAGACAGTGAACAATGGGATCCTGAAATTCCTGGCCACCTTTAGTCCCGTAGCTGAGGTGGAGGTGGATGGTAGGCCTCCTCCTTATCTCTGGGAAACTTCCAAAGATTTCCTGGGCTGGTCGAGGTGTGGAAGACGCCTGATCCACCCAATATCATCAGACACCCATAGGCAGGGTCAGAGGGTGTCACCGGCCTCTCCTTTTCCTTCTTCGTCAAATATTAACTATCTGGCCTTAAAGAGATGGGAGGGATCTGGAGCTGGTCAGAGGAATAACAGGAATTTGGAGGGTCTGTTCAAGAGTTAAAGGTTAGCACTGTCATGAGAGAATATAAGAATATAAGAAGCAGAAAAGAGAGCCTCTGAACCACAGAAAGGGCCTCGAATTCTTGTTTTGGGGGCTGGGGCAACAGAGGTTTCAGGCTGCCTGAGCTCCACCTCACTATGAGAGCACACCTGTTTACATTTGGGGCCTCCTATTTACACAGCACAGAAGGGAAAGCCCTATGGGCTAGCGGAAGTCTGTGCCAAGGACAGGGCAGGAAGACCACATCCAAGATCAGAGGAACCACTCAGTGTGGAGTGCATGGCACAGGTGCACATTTATTTTGAGTCATGTAGGTCCCGAAGAATGTGACACACTTGCACACAGGTGTGCACGCATGTTCAAGTAGCACGGAGAGCACATGTATTTATAAGAGTCATGCACCCCCACACACACACACACACAGAGGCTTAGCAAAAGTATGCTCACACAAAGGGCCAAGGCCACACATAGTAGTACAAATACACAAGGTTGTGTTGACATGCCATCCACTCAGTGGTTCACATATCCTCAGAGGTGCACAAGCAGGGCTACATACATTGCTTCCTATTCAACAGGAGTTCCTTGTCCATACACATTTGTACAGGAGCATGCACACAAAATTGTTGATAGCGGGCCAGGCTCAGTGCACACATGTATTCAGAGTCCTCAAACACAATTACATCCAGGCAGAGGCAAACACTCATGAAATGCATAAAGGGGTCCGGCTTTTGCTGCAGGCTTGGTGGCTGCCAGTGTCTGCTGGGGTTAGATGCAGAGCAGAATCCTGTCCCCTTTCCTGGAAGTCCTGGTCCTAAGGCCACCTCTCTCTCTCTCTCTCTCTCTCTCTCTCTCTCTCTCTCTCTCTCTCTCTCTCTCTCTCTCTCTCTGTGTGTGTGTGTGCGTGTGTGTGTGTGTGTTGTGAGGCTTCTGACTTGGGGTGAGTGCCTGAAAGGGAGAATGGGTAAATAGCCCGGAGAGGAGGAGGAGGAGGCCCTCAGATTTAGCAAAGTGAAGATGGAATGCTACCTCGGCAGCCCTCTTTCCCCCTACAGACTGCCGTTCTAAATCTGGGGAGCTGGACTGGAGCGTTCAGGCCCCACTTAACCTGTTGGGAGGGCCGGGTTAATGGGCGGGAGGTGGAGCACGCCACCCCCTCCCCCAGTACTAAGAGGGTTCAAGGTCTCCAGTTCACACCCCACACTTCACTCCAAGTTTGGGTTCCTTCCCAGGGCCTGCCTGCTGAACTCTGATCATCTTCTGTTTGATCCTAGGGTGGAGAAAACTGGGGAGGTGAGGATTTCCCCCAACAATAGCCTCAGTAGGCTCTCGACCTTCATTCCTGATGTCCACCTGTCTGGGGTTAGCGGTATTTCCCTCTGCCCGGTACGATGGCGGTCTCTCCTGCCTTGAGGGCCCCTCTCCCTCCCTCGTCTTCCCCTCCCTCCACCATCCTGGACAGTCCGCGGTTCTCTCCTTTGATAAGATCTAACCTCAGTATCTACTGCTGCAGCTCGAGGACAAGCTCTCCTTCGATCCCGCCGGACGCCAGGAGACATGACCCAGATCCAGGGGAACACTGTTCTCCACGCGGGTCCCTGCCCCGCTGCGGACCCCGACTCCGCGAAGGCGGGTCCGCGCCCTGCGCGACCCGAGGCCTGGCCCGCGCCCCTCTAGAACCTTTAATGCGGGACCGGGGGTCTCGGCGGTGAGCAAGGCCTGGCCTAGCTTGGAGGGTGGAATGGACGTGGACCAGGCTTTGCCCGGCCGCGGCCCCCGGCCCTGCCACCGCCCGCACTCCCCCGCCTCCCTCACCTTTGCGCTGGGATCCGGGGCCATAGAGACAGCGACGTGCGGCTCCGCGGCCCCACAGCACCAGCTGCGGGAGGAAGGGGCCGCGGCCGGAGAGAGGCGGGGTGGAGGCGGAGCCGGGGGTGGGGCGGGGGCCGGAGGCGGGCCGGAGGCGGGGGCGGGGAAGGGCGCCCGCCCTCCTTCGCGCCCCCCACCACTCACAATAGACACGATTTGTGGGAGATGCTCGAGGCCCACGGCTCCTGGCGTCCCCTTTCTTCCAGGCTCAGTCGATCTGGGTACTGCCCGCCCCTTGGTGGTGGTGGTGGTGGGTGCTTACCACCGCGTGCGCCCTAAAACAAGCTGATCCTGCCTGTCTACTGTGGTCCTACGACCCCTCCCATTTACCTATTGCAGGGACGCGTAAACCTCGGATCCCAGAGTCCTGTACTCTGCTCTCTAGTCTGCACCTCACTTCTTGCAAAACATGTTTACCATGCCTTCCTGCCTTTGGCCTAGGGTGCCGGTGTGCAGATGGGGACTACAGTTAAATGCATCAGGCTTCTGCGTAGATTCTGTTTCCTAGTTCAAGGTGTGTGGTTCCCACCCTCGCCAGACTGTTCAGCTCGAGGAGGTCTGAGTGGGTGAGATGGGGGGCCTGGGAGGATGAAGGGACAGCAGAGAAAATGCTCTTTATGCATAAAATAAGCCACAACCATGCGCACGGATTCACTCAACGAATCTTAGTCATTCTTATCTCCAAACTTTCCGTGTTCCAGTCACCTGAATAGCCTATGCTTCCCAGCTTCAATCTCCTTGCCCAATTCCTTTAGGATGGTTTGCCCTGCAAATTCAGGCTCTCCTCCTTCCCAAGGGTTATTAGAATGAATATAGGGCTGGGGTTGTGGCTCAAGGGTGCAGTGCATGGCTAGCATGCAGGACACCCTGGTTCCATCCCCAGCACCACAGAAAAACAAAAACAAAATCAACCATGACTTCGGCCTTAAGTCCTAGGGAAACCTGAGCTCTGGCCATGACCCACCCCCACAAAAAAATCCATGACAACATTGTGATGGGCAAAAGGACCAAAACAAGAGTCTAAAGAACAGGCTTGCATGTGCCTTGATGTTTGAGTAGGCTCAGTGCCGTGTTAAACTGATGAGAGCCCGAGGAGGAACTTCATTCCCCTTCCAGGATTCCCCAAAGCTCATACAGTTTGGCACTCAATCCATACAATCTCTGAGTCTGGACTGTGTGTGACTGCAGACTGCTAGACAGAAGGGCCCAGATCACACTTCCACCCCCTGTCAGAATGTCTCCTGGCACTCTGCAAACAGGATACTTACTGTGTGTGGGGTGCAGTGGGGGAGACTGGGAGATATGTTTCTATTCAAAAGCGCACACACTTTAAACATTTTTCTTTTGTGCATGCATGCATGTCACCACCCATGTGTAGCAGTCCAGAGGATAAATTGCAGGGAGTCTGTTCTCTATCCACCATGTAGGGCTGGGTATCAAGCTCAGAGATTGCCAGGCTTGGTGACAGACAACTTTTTTTTTTTTTTTTTTTTTTTTTTTTTTTTTTTTTGGTTTTTTGATTTTTTTTTTTTTTTAAAGACTTATTTATTTATTATGTATACAGCATATGTGACTGCATGCCAGAAGAGGGCACCAGATCTCATTACAGATGGTTGTGAGCCACCATATGGTTGCTGGGAATTGAACTCAGGACCTCTGGAAGAGCAGTCAGTGCTCTTAACCTCTGAGCCATCTCTCCAGCCCGACAGACAACTTTTATCTGCTGGGCCATCTCACCTGTCCAAGCCAAGCACACGCGTTCTAGACCGCCCGGATTCACTTCTTTTTCTGTGCCCTCATCCCATTCTGAGTTAGTAGCTTCGTTTTATAGCTGGGAAAACAGGTTCTAAGCAGATTGTAACTTGCCTTCAAATATGTTGAGTTGATGGAGGACATGATTGGAAGAGTCTGAGAAGTGTTAGCCAGGCAAGCTTGGGGAAAATGACTAAACGGACGGACGGGCTTGTTGGGTGGATAGGAAGAAGAGAAGGAACATACAAAAGGCTAGTGGGTTTGATTTGGTGAGACAGGAGTGTTCTTAGTGCAAGATAGAGGAGAGGTCAGCTAATAGCTTGGGAAGATTTCAGGCGTGCTGACAGATTCAGTCCAGACTGAATCAAGACTGTAGGCTTTGTGGGAAAGTGGGTTTGGAAGGAAGAGGACGGAAGACTGCCAGCCGTACCTGACACTGTGGAGAAACTGCAGTGACCAGTAGGCTAAGAAGCCTAGCTCTCCAAGTTCACAGACTTGCAATGCTGACTCCACATCCCCCAGGAGGAAGCACGTATGCCAGAGTACTAGGTTCTGCAGCTCCCTGAGTTGTAGAGAGCTGAGACAGCCTTTAGTGAATGTGTAAAGAACAGATGAAGTCTTGAGTGAATGTGTGGGCATGGCCATGTCAAGGGACCCAATATTTCAGGCTGCTGGGTGGCCTGAGCCTTCAGCAGGTCCAGGGCAGATGTTGGGAGTTTGTGCAAGTACAATAGCATGTGCAAGATGATGGTGTGTGCAACTAAGAGTGTTTAAGAAGGTTTGACCAGTGTGTGCAACCCCAGCTTCTTCCTCCTGGATGACTGCAACCTGAGTTTGCTCCCCAATAGAGCCCTCCTATCAAGACGAGCTTACTCCCCCCTGTCCTGTACATAATAAATTCACTGAGGGTCCAGTTGTTGGTGGCTGGGGTGCTGCTCCATCAGAGTGAGCACAGACCACCCAATTCTTTTTGAAGAATCTTTTCTTCATTCCCTCTCTGAGACCCAGTCAGGTTTCCAGGTCCAAGGCATGCTAGACACAGGACTGAGCTCTGAGGTGAGATTTTCTGAGTGTTTGTGATGGCTGATATATAATCTTGCACCCTTTTGTTGTTGTTGAGACAGGGTTTCTCTGTGTAGCCCTGGCTGTCCTAGAACTCACTCTGTAGACCAGGCTGGCTTTGAACTCAGAGATCCACCTGCCTCTGCCTGCAGAGAGTGCTGGGATTAAAGATGTGAACTACCACTGCTCAGTCCTTGCACCTTTTTATTTATTTATTTATTTATTTATTTATTTATAATTTTTTTGGTTTCTTGAGACAGGGTTTCTCTGTGTAGCTTTGCGCCTTTCCTGGATCTCGCTCTGTAGACCAGGCTGGCCTCAAACTCAAAGATCCACCTGCCTCTGCTTCTTGAGTGCTGGGATTAAAGATGTGCGCCACCACTGCTCAGCTCTTGTACTTTCTTAAATGAGTAAAATGTGTGGTTTCAAAGCCAGGTTCTAGGATGGCACTTACAAACTGTCTTGGGCATTTACTTCAGTATTTCTGGCAAGACAGATTCAGTACACAATCCATTCCTTTCTGTTCTCTTCCCACTTCGAGCTCAGCATCTCACTTTTCCAGAGGAAACTCCCTTAACAGACAACCCCACTCCCTGCAAACCAAGCTGGTAAGAGTAAAATTCTTGACTGTGAAGAGAGAGGAGTTGAAATCTAAACACATAAATAAGCACTAATTGAAACAGGTTTGCTGGAACACACCTTTGATCTTGGCAGTGGAGGCAGGAGGACCAGTTCAAGGTCATCCTCAGCTACATCACAATTTTAAGACCATGGGACACGAGGCAGGTCATTTATTGAGTGGGGTGTTACTTATCCTTGAAGTCACTGCTGGCCGCTTCATTTGGAATTCTTTGGAGAACACAAACTTTGGCTATACTGCCTCCCCCGGTTCTGCTGTAAGACAAAGTGACAGAGGCTGGTGGCGCTGGTGTCCTGGCCACACCTCAGGCTGGTTTGGCTCTAGGGTTGGCACACAGAAGTGAACTCCTTGCGTCAGGGACCAGGGAAGATGCAGCCTATGAACTGGAACTCCTTAGACAGAGGCTCCCCGAGGCATGAGGACACTGGCCTGGTCAAGATGTCCTGCCTCTTGCCCACTGTGGTGACTTTGCTCCTGCCCTGCCTTCTCTACTCCTGGTTGCCTGGCATTTTCCTTGGGGTGGGGGGTGCAACCTGTTGGCCACATACAGCCAAGGTACTTCCTCAGTACTGACTGCCACCTGTACAACAGTGCTGTGTAGTCTTACTGTGCCCCAAAGCCGCTTTTGCCTGTTAAGTGTTCCAGAATCCTAGCCACTTGTCTTGGACTCGGACCCAAACCTGGGCCTTCTGGTTTGGCCTCCCCTGACTCCAGCCCTCGTTACCAAGAAGGGTGTGTCAGGACATGTCTGCAGATGCTGGAGAACCACCCTCCACCATCAGCATACTTGGTGGTGGTGGTTAAGACTGGGTCTCACACTGTAGCCCAGGATGGCCTCAAATTTGTGATCCTCCTGCCTCTGCCTCCCACGTGCTGGGATTATAGGCATGAGTTATAATACCAGGCCAGCATGCTTGGTTTATTTAACAAGGAATCATAATCTTATTTCTGGCAGCAGGAACAGGGATGGAAAGCCTCTAGAATTCCCAGTCTGAAGAAGCAGCATCTCCAGCTGTGACTTCTGGAGTTAAGGTCTGATTTAGAAGCACAGCCACAGGTGCCTGCTTCTGGCCAATTTTTTTAAAATTAACTAATTAGTTAATATTTTATGTGCGTGGGTGTTTGTCCCTACTTTTTTTTTTTTGGTTTTTTGAGACAGGGTTTCTCTGTGTAGCTTTGCACCTTTCCTGAAACTCACTTTGTAGCCCAGGCTGGCCTCGAACCCACAGAGATCTGCCTGCCTCTGCCTCCCAAGTGCTGGGATTAAAGGTGTGCGCCACCACTGCCTGGCCTTTTTCCCTACATGTTTAACTGGGCATTAAGTTTATGCCTGGTGCCCATAAAGGTTAGAAGTGGGCATAGGAGTTACAGTTGTTAGCCATAAGTGATGGGAATTGAACCCAGATCCTCTGGAAGAGCAGCCACATTAGCGACTGAACTGTCTTCTCCAGGGACATCAAATTTCTTTTGAGACAGGGTTTCTCTGCATCACAGCCCTAGCTCTCCTGGAACTCACTCTAGACCAGGCTAGCCTCAAACCACCTGCCTGTGCCTCGTGAGTGCTGGGATTAAAGGTGTGCACCACCCTTTGTTGTCTTCAAGAGCCTCCTCATAGCTCAGCGAGGGAGCTGAGGTCTGTTCTGTTCATGCTGCACGACAGGCTTGGTACTGAGCGACTACGATGCATGCATTTGAGTCTTCACAAACCTGAAATAGTTATTCAACAGGTTGAAGAAAACTCAGGTACTTGCCAACAAAGGCAATGGCCAGTATGGTGATCTGAGGCCTGAGGCCAAGCCTACGTCTTTTCCTAGACCTATCCTGTAGCAGGAATCTTAGAGTTCTTATTAATAAAATCAAACCTGAGGCCAGTTATTGGGGTCAATGCTGGTAGATCAGAGAGACAGAACAAGCCACAGATATCTCACCTTGCCAGTTCCTCAGCTGGTCCTGTTTCCTCAGACTGGAAGCCTCTGTGTCCTCATCCAGAATGAATCTCAGCTGAACTGTGTTGCTCCAAAGCCTGAAAGCTTAACCAGCCAAATGCTTCTAGTTTCTGGTCCTCAACGCCTTATAAACCTTTCTGCTTTCTACCACCACTCCCTGGGATTAAAGGCGTGTGTCACCATGCCTGGCTGTTTCCAATGCGGCCTTGAACTCACAGAGATCCAGAGGGATTTCTGCCTCTGAAATGCTAGGATTAAAGGCATGTGCTACCACTGCCTAACCTCTATGTTTAATATTGTGGCTTTTCTGTTTCTCTGACCCCAGATGAGTTTATTAGGATACACAATATTTTGGGGAACACAATACCACCACACCATCCCCTAGTATTTATGCCCACACCTGCTTCTACCTGGGCTGTCACATCTTCTCCACCCTGTCTACCGTAAGGGAGGAGTACTGCATGGCTGTGACACTGTGGCTCTGGCAACAATGCCTAGGCCTTCTGTGAGGTCATAGGCTTCTCTTCTGAGGTGTCAGCTTTCACACAGCTGGCAGAGCATAGGCTGTAGCAGTCTATCAGGCCACAGGTGGGTCTCAACCCTTCTGCATTGTAAAATCACCTTTCTTGACCCTGGGGTCTAGAACACAACACCCAGGTCAAGGGTGATTTTTCCACTTCTGTTTTCCTCAGACACCAGCAGGTAAGAGTCATGAGTTTTGTGTTGCTCCCCACCAAATCCTAACATGTAGGTACTCAACAGCAGCCAATGGATGTGGAGAATGAGGTAAGAATGAGATTATTAAATTCCTGACTGTAGAGTATACAGCAAGTTATTAATTGGGTGATGTAAACATGAACTGTGGACAGCTGTGGCTTTGTTTTCCACAGAGAAAGAGACATTAAGCTAAAAAAAACCCCTGGAGAATCCAAACCAAAGAAGAAAGAAGTTTAAGGCAGGCCATTCCAGATCCTTCCTCATCTTCACTCCTCAATCAAACACCACCAGATACGTTTCAACTGAGAAAAAAGTTTTAATAACACATACACATACATTCAGAGGCCTTTAAACAAGACATAGTATAAAATCTTAAAGAAAGGGGGGAAATGAGGAGGAAACATTGCATTTACTGCCTAAGAGCTAGGAGATTAACTGGCTGACACAATGCCCTGGGAAACTGACACACAGATGATGAGGTGTGCCGGCACCATCGAGTGCTCACACCCACTGAGATGGGACTGCACTGATTTGCATGCCCACCACTTGTACCCTATTGCCTCCTGAGAGACAAGCCAAGTCAGTTCACTTAACTCAGCTGCTTGTCAACGAGTCATTTTTAAATGTAAAAAATTACTCTTGGTTTAAAGACTCCACACATTATTACTGGCCAGTCCCCACCAACTGTATCTATTTTGATTGGGGGAGGGGGAAGCAAATGCTTCAATAGAGCCCGGATGGTAACACACTATGTTATCTATCTTTTACTGGGGAGATATATATATATATATTTTTTTTGTGAAGTCAAAAGCAAGCTACTACTTGCACTCAAAACAAAAACAAAATGTCAACCTTCCAAAAGGTGACAAAGGCACCACTGCCATCAGGAGAAGACAAGACAAAAAAATGCACAGATGCTGACTTCAGTGCTACACAGATGATTTGTGCACGGAGCCTCTTCACGTAACATTATAGAACTGTATTTTCAGATAACAAGAAAAGCAGGTTAGAAAAGGCCAACAGTTACACACAAAAGCATAAACACAAGTACTTTAATTTTCAGCTTGCAGTAAGGGTAATAAGTTTGACATACACATCCAGAAAATTAGACAAGGTGATTTTTGGCACAGTAAGATTGCCAAACACACCACCACTCAGTGCAAGCTTTGTTTGCCAAGTCCTAAATGTGGCCTGACAGTCTTTGTGCAAGGAGCATTTTCTCCCTCTCTACCATCCCATTTTCTGGGCAACAAAGCCGGAGGGAGGGAGATAAAGCATGGGGACTTGGAAGGAGATGGAAATACTTGATTTGGGAGAAAAATCATGAGCTACTGCGCTAAAATAGAATCACAAAGTTTCTATGAGAACCCAAATGCAAATACTAACTGGACTATGACCTGGAGACTGAAGACTGTTACCAGAGTCATAAATACAAGGGCCTAAACTGATATCTGGCCATTTATTTTAAAGGGAAGGATAAAGTATTTTTCTCTCATGGAGAAAGACAATTGAAAATAGAGATTTTACTCTTATTGGAACTGCTAAATAAGAATGTATCAAAGTGGTTTTAAATTTGATGGGTGGTTATCAGTTGAAACTGCAATATAAAAGGGTCACTTAAAAACCTGAATAACCCACTTGTCCCCGTCAATGTACACAATAGAAAATATTTACACACTGTAATTACAAGCAATATAAGCAGATTTTATACTTTGAGATTTTGTACACTTTACACAATGCAAAATGAGAAAAATATGAACACTTATAAAATTACACACAAATAATGTATCTACAAGGTATTAAATTACAGAGTGAAAGCCCCCATTGTTGGGCAGATAGATGCCAGAGTTTCAAGCTTCTGTCAAATATAACTCTTTGTATCTATCTCTGTAACCATAGTGGCATTTTGTAATAATACCCTTGAGAGGTAGCATCAATATACTATTCTTACCGGTAAACTCAACACAGAAGAAAACTTTTGTTGGTCTGACTCTTGGAGCCTCAATCAGCCTCAGTTCTTGTAAATTTGATTTGTTTAGTCTTCCCTATAAAATCTCTAACTGCCCAATGCTTGACATGAGCTCAAAAGTTACTAATGTTATTTTAAATGATAAATTTAAGATAAAATGGTTTTTATTCCTAAGCCTCAATTTAGAGGTAGAAAGTTAGCTCTCAGAACTTATTTTCTCCTCTCAAACCATAAACATCGAGCCCAGTTCCTTTTCCAGCCTCACCTGGACCCACACAGATATTAGCATGCTCAGGAGGGAGCAAGCCACTGAAGCCAGTTTTCCAAGAACAAGCATTCCTTTCCGGAAGCAAACCCTCTCCAGACAGACAACGGTCAGCAGGAGTGTTACCACCAAAGGTTTCAAAGGGCCTCGGGCTCAATCTAGCGGTGCACCTCTGCTAACCCTCTACCATCTAAACTAAAGGATGGCTTTCCAGTGTTTAAAAGAATTTAGAGCAGCTGTGGTTTTCAAGTGCAACAACTTCAAGATACAAACGCTCGAGCAAACGCAAACACACACACACACACACACACACACACACACACACACACACACACACACACACAGTGTCCCCAAAATAAACATCATCAAGGTCTCTGATAAATTATATACTGTGGGAACAAGGTTTTTGGAAACTTCCAGATTTTTAAGCCTTTATACAGAGACTTCTGTAATATAGTTACCAATGGCCAGAATTCTGGCTAAGCTTTTATGATTGAATCAGTATTTTAAAAATATATGCATTTACAAGAAATCCTAAACAAACTGCCTATGAATGTTCTGGCATTTTAAAAACAGCCACTACTTTGTAGCTTTATCTCTTCCTCTAAGGGCAATCTGACAGTATGTCTGTTTCTTATTTGACTTTAAATATATTTAAAAAACCTCAGATTTATAGTCTTGAATAGTAAAGGGACAATGTATGGACTGAAACTGTCTGGTTTAGGGAGTTACAGAAAAGACCCACACTTCTGATTACAGAACTCTATTCTAGACTTTCCCTTTGTATCCTAAAATAACCAAGAGGGAAATGAAAACCAGCTGGACCTTGGCCTTCGTTTCAATGTCCAAATCCTCAAGTTGGTCCACACTTATCCTTCTTATTTGCTGTGATGATCCAGGTGCTATGCAGCCACCTAACAAGATAATGGCTGAAAACGAGGGGCTAGGGAGGGTAGGCTGGGGTCTTCTATCAGCTCTGTCTACCCACCCTTCTTTTATGAGCCCCTTTCTTTCCTCTAAGGTCAGCTGCAGATGGCATTTCATATCTGCTTCAGAAACGGCAGTCTTCATCACCAGCCCCACACTGCATATTCAAGTGGCACACAGCTGTGTTCCTTAGCATCTGCTGGATCCACAGTAACCCTCTTGGAAAGGCCCTTCTTGCTTTGTATTTCTGCTGCTGTAACTCGTGTTAAGAATCTGGCACCCAGAAGTCATGAAGCTGCCCCTGGAGAAGGGGGAAAAGGGAAAAATTAATCAGATTATGAACTAATCCTTTTAATCATTGGACAGCAGTCTTTGATTAATGAAAGCAGAAAAATCATGATATATACACGTCTCTGAAAACATCTTTCTTGTTTTGAGACAGGGTCTTCTATTAGCCCTGACTGGCCTTCAATTTCAGAGATCTGCCTGCTTCTTCTGCCTTTCAAGTGTTGGGACTAAAGGCACACACAAAGCCACCATGCCCAGCTGAAAATTTCTTATGATTTTATAACTTTTCCATTTTGTGCTCTGGCAATGAAAAGGCATAACACAAAAACAGGACATTTTTCTCATGGACACACTCACAAAGGGACATATTTAAAGAGATTAATGTGTTAAACTGATTATAAAGTTTTTCTATTAATGCTACATTGGCAGAGAGCCTTAACATTTTATTGAGGGAACTGGAGAGATGTCTCAGTGGTTAACACACTGACCACTCTTCCAGAGGACCTGGATTTGATTCTCAGCACCCAAATAGAAGTTCACAACTATGTAACTCCAGTCCCAGGAGATCTGATACTTTCTGGCCTCCAAGGTTATCCAGCATGCAAGTGGTACATAGACATACATGAAGATAAAACACCCATACACACAAAACAAAATAATAATTAACAAAAAAACAACAGCCCCACACTGCATTTGGCAGAAGTCTTCCCAGCATACACAGGGACCCGGATTTGTTCAGTAGCTCAGAATGAACAGGAGGTGGTGATGTATACCTGCAATCCTAGCAGTGGAGGAAGAGGGAAGAAGATCAGAAGCCCAAGGTCACCTTTGGCTTCACAGGGAGTTCAAGGGCAGCCTGAGCCCCACACCAACACTGAAATACTGTGAGACAGAGATTCCACCCAAGAATACGCTCAAGATGTTTTCCTTTGAACACATATTTACTCAAAAACTTGTATATAAATGTTCATGGAAATATTTATTTTATTTTATTTTTTATTAAATTCTTTTTTTTTTTAAGATTTATTTATTTATTATGTATACAGTATTTTGCCTGCATGTATGACTGCAGGCCAGAAGAGGGCACCAGATCTCATTACAAGTGGTTGTGAGCCACCATGTGGTTGCTGGGAATTGAACTCAGGACTTCTGGAAGAGCAGTCGGTGCTCTTAACCACTGAGCCATCTCTCCAGCCTTTATTTTTGATTTTTTGAGACAAAGTTTCTCTGTGTAGCCTTGGCTGTCCTGGAACTAGCTCTGTAGACCAGGTTGGCCTCTAACTCACAGAGATCACCTGCCTCTGCCTCCCGAGTTCTGGGATTAAAGGCATAGGCCACCACCGCCCGGAGAAATATTATTCTTAATAGTCAGAAAGTAGAAACAACTCTTGCTCTTCTTGTTAAGTGGATAAATAAATGTTATATATCCATACAGTCAAATATCATTTTGCAGTAGAAAGGATATACTTATTACAACACAGATTTCTTTATCATTATTAGATAAAAGAAGCTGGCCACAAAAGACCACATAGTGTAGTAATCTAGAAGAGGAAAATCTTGACAGAAAGCAGGCAGGCATCTGCCTAGGGCTTAAGGGAAGTAAAGAGAGGCATGAAGGTGGTGGAGGAATAGGAGGGACCGCCAAAGTTCAAGTGTGGCGATGATCTGCTCGATTCTGTGGCTACACTAGTCCCCACAGACTAAGTGGTGAAATGGACACATGCATTCTATCTTAACAGAATTGTTAGATGTACTCATGAAATAACCTCCATTTGATGCAACCTGACACTTTTAAATGACTGCAAACCAACCCTAAAAACTAGACACAAACCATACATCATGCAGTGGGTTTCATAATAAATAAAACAACACCTGAGTAGGCCGACAGTTCTGGATTATTTCCTGCCATTTTCCATGTATTCTGGCAACCAAGTCTTTCACCTTAAAAATAACAAAAAGAGGAAAAGATGTCAGATCAGAGTATCCTCACTTAAAATCAAATTAACATTGGAAAGAAAGCATCTCAGAGTTGCTGCTATGGAGGTGCAGGGCTGCACTCCCAGCCCTCAGGAGGACTGCTCAAAGTCCAAGACCAGTGTGAGCTATAGTGTGAGATCCTGTTTCAAAAAACCGAAACAAAACAGTAACAAAAATAAGTATAAAAGTCAAATATATTTCATAGCTATCACAGGCCCCAACAATTATATTTGATTGCTGTCAAGAAAAGGCTACTTATCTTTTGGGGAGGCTTTCAAATGACATGTTTTCTTTTATTACCGTAATTTATTTTTTTCACAATCTAAAATGTCAAATGATTATGACTTAATTTTCTTGTTTGTTTTTTGACACAGGGTCTCTCTATATAATCCTGGCTGTCTGGAACTCCCTATGTAGCTCAGGCTGTCCTCAAACTCACAGAGATCCACCTGCCCCTGCTTCCTGAGTGCTGGGATTAGGTGTGAGCCACAACACCCAGTCTTAATTTCTTTGATTTTATTTTACGTGTATGGGTGTTCTGCCTACATGTGTATATCTGTTCATTGCCCTCAAAGCCAGAAGAGGGTTTCAGATCCCCTGGAACTGGAGTTATTATATACAGACAGTGTGAGCTGCCATGTGGGTGCTGCAAATCCAATCTGGGTCCTCTGGAAGAGCAGTCAGTTCTCTTATCCACTAAGCCATCTCTCCAGTCCTTAATTTCTTTTTTAAAAATTATTACTCTACAAGACAGAGTTGCCCTATTTAGCCCTGGATAACCCTAAATTTAATGCAGTTTTCCTGCCTCTGCCTTCCAAGTACAGGGATTACAGCAATGCATCACCATGCTCGATTTCCTGTTACTAAAGACAGTCCAGATAGTCCAGAGACCCACAACTCTGCCTTCAAAGAGATTTCTACTTTCTACTCTCTGGCTTCTGAACACCCAGCCAGGGAAGCTGAAGGGTATACCATTTTACAGGGCCCAGCGCATTGGCCGCTCCCAGCTTTACCATAGCTTGCTTTTAAAAGGTTCAACAGAAAGACAACAAAAAATTCAGGATATGGCTCAGTAGTTAAGAGCACTTGTTGCTCTTGCAGAGGACACAGGTTTGAGTCCCAGAAACTACATGGCAGCTCACAACCATTTATAAACCCAGATCCAGGGAATTCAATGCCCTCTTCTGATCACTGAGGGTACCAGGCACAAACACAGTACAAAGGCATACATTCAAGGAAAAACACTCACACATAAAATTACACAAGCCTAAATTTTTTTTTTTTTTTTTTTTTTTTTTTGGTTTTTTTCGAGACAGGGTTTCTCTGTGTAGCTTTGCACCTTTCCTGGAACTCGCTTTGGAGACCAGGCTGGCCTCGAACTCACAGAGATCCGCCTGGCTCTGCCTCCCGAGTGCTGGGATTAAAGGCGTGCGCCACCATCGCCCGGCCTAAACATTTTTTAATGTGTCACTTGCTCCTTCCACAGAATCACAAGATCCCAACTTGCTGCCACTCCCTTTGTAAATGCTACACAAACCTCTGGTACCTGCTGCAAACAGATTTAGCCAGTCTGCCAAACTCAAAGGTCTCCACAAAGTGAAGCTCCCACTATGCTTCACACTACCAAATGAACAAAGGGAAGGCCCATTTACCACTCCTGATTATCTCTTAGACTTTCATTGCTTGAGAAAAACGTCTCTGTGTGTGTGTGTGTGTGTGTGTGTGTGTGTGTGTGTGTGTGTAGGCAGGCTTTCATGTATTTCAGGCTGGCCTCAAACCCCTCATGTAGCTGTAGCTGACTTTGGTTTTTCTGTTGTTCTTGCCTCTACCTATCAAGTACTGGAATTACAGGCATGCTCCACCACACCTAGAATACAAATATTTAAACAAGTCAGCAATTTTTTGGGGGGAGACATATTTTCACTATGTAGCTCTGGTGGCCTAGAGCTGGTTATGTAGACCAGGCTGTCCTTGAACTCACTGAGATCTGCTTATCTGTCTCCTGAGTGCTAGGATTAAAGAAGTGATCCACCATCCTGGCCTTAAGTCAGGAAGAAACAGGCATCGGGAGGTAGAGGCAGATCTCTGAGTTCGACAAGGCCAGCCTAGTTAGTCTACAAAGAAGTTCCAGGACAGCTAGGGCTACACAGAGAGACCCTGACTCAAAAACAAACAAAAAAGTGAATTAAAATCTCCACTTTCCCCCACTCTGTAAAGTTTAGCAAACTGTCTTCATGACAACTACAGACAGGTCAGTAGTCACACTGCAGAGTACACCCCACACGGACAGGTCAGTAACTAGTCACGCTGCAGACTACACCCCACACGGACAGGTCAGTAACTAGTCACGCTGCAGAGTACACCCCACACGGACAGGTCAGTAACTAGTCACACTGCAGAGTACACCCCACACGGACAGGTCAGTAACTAGTCAACTGTAGAGTATACTCCTGAGGCTAAGGCTTTGTGTCTGAGACCAAGGACTACTATTGCCTAGTGTATCTGGAAATCTGACTCAGCTTCACATTTGTTGCTCATTTTCATATTTACTTTAAAGTGACTAACATACAGCCGGGCAGTGATGGTGCACGCCTTTAATCCCAGCACTCAGGAGGCAGAGGCAGGCGGATGTCTGTGAGTTTGAGGCCAGCCTGGTCTACAGAGAGAGATCCAGGACAGGCATTAAACTACACAGAGAAACCCTGTCTTGAAAAACCAAAAAAGAAAAAAAAAAAAAAAGAATGACTAACACACACACCCAATGAGAACAGTTCAGATAATCAGCTTCTGTAGCTGACCTATGTAAAGATACAAAGACACACAGCCCCAAACAGCCATCACCTACTACGCACACACAAGCCAAGAAGAAATCCACTTCATACAACAAAAATCTAAGTCAGTTATTAAAAAAAAAAAAGCTTAGATATTTCTAAAAGTATTTTTTGTGTGTGTCAGGAGGAATTCAGGTCAGTCTATTAATGTTAAAGTTGCTTCTCTCGTACATTCTCATAAATTTGGTTTTCTATTGTCTTTGTGTATAAAAAAAACTTTAGGAAAAACAAAACAAAACAAGAAAAACCTTGGTAAGCTTACTGATGCATCAATCCTATCCAACACCTGGGTTCGGTGAGACCTCAGAATGGAGTCTTCCTAGAACAGTTCAGTGAGCATCACGGGGAGCAGCTAGTCTATTCTCCTCTATAAATATGACTTTTCCATCGCCATGGAATTCATACCATTGCTTTGTAATTATATATACCTATACATTTAAAACAATATCTCCATCTGTGAAGCTAAGGTTTGAAAACATAAGGTTTTTTTGTGTGTGGAGGACAGTGTCTTCCTCCATCACCAACCTTATTTTTTGAGACAAGGTCACTCACTGGACCCAGAGTTCACAGACTAATTAGATGGCTGATCAGTGAGCACTGGGGTCCACTTGTCTCTGCTTCCCTCAGTAGTAAGGTCAGGGATGTGTGCGACCACTCCCATTTACACGGGTACTGGGGATCCAGACTAGTGTGCAGTAGGCACTTTACCACACCCTGAGTACGTGTTTGACCTGTACAATGGGAAAAAACAAAAAGTCCCAAAGACACTGAAAGAAATTTTCTCTTTGGGTGTCAGGAATTTCAGAACAAAGAGTAAAGTGAAAAATGTATTTGCTTGAAGAGTGTTTTTCACTTGTACTTTCAACCTAGCTAGAAAAGTACTTAGTAGAAGCTGATTTGTTACCCAAGTCCTAACTCAGAGTGGTAATTAACACCAGTATTCAAAGTACTAGAGAGGCTGAGGCAGGAGGACCAGAAATGTGCTATTGGCTGGTGAGGTAATTCAGTGGGTGAAGGCACTTGCCACCAGGCCTGACAACCTGAGTTTGGTCCTCAGGAGCCACACAGTAGAAGGAGAGGACCAACTCCCACAAGCTCTCCTGTGACCTATATATCCCAAACAATGCACATACACTAGATTATGTGCACCCCTATCTCCAACCAACAAATAAATGAATATAAAAAAACCCCTAAAAGTTTGAAGAAAGCCAGGCACAGTAGTGGATGCTTGTGATCAACACTTGGAAGGCAAAGACAGGTGATCTGTGTGAGTGGGCAGCCTGGTCTACACAATGAGGTCCAGCCAGGGCTACATAGTAAGATCCTGCTTCAGCAAACCAAAAACAACTTGAGGCAAGCCTGGGCTATATAATTAAAGTGTCTTCATTTTAAAAAGTCCTCTTTATGTTCTTTGAAATATATTTATGTGTGTATGTGAGCGTGCATGCGTGCATATCTATATATTGAGGATCCAATGAAGTGGCCAAGCACACTACCACTGAGCTATACTCACAAGTCCTTATGCCCCCCCCCCCCCCCCCCCAAAGAGCGGCTTGTGTATTTCCCTTGCTTACATTTTCTTTTTCTTACAACAGGGCCTTACTGTGTTGTTGCACAAGAAAGCCTGAGTCCTGGGTTTTCCTGTCTTAGCCTCCCAAGTGCCAGGATTACAGGTGTGACTGCCAACAATACATAAAAATAGGAAGCAGGGCACTCAGTGAGTGAAGTGGTTGCTGTGTAATCCTGAGGACTGGAGTTCAAATCCTCAGAATCAATGGAAAGCCAGGTGTATACATCTGTAATAACTGGAGGCTCCAAGGACAACTAGTCTCTGTTTTAAACAAGGTGTAAGGCAAGGGCTGACATTCATAACTGTCCTTAGGCATCCCCATGTGCATCATGTCGTATGCTTATACCCCAAACCCGCCATAAATAACATACTTACTTTAGTTCTGTAGAAAAGCCTTGCGTCTTCCCTAATATCACACTTAACATGCTTTTCCAAAGCCCCACAAAGCAGCACGAAGTGTTTCTATGTAAACAAACAAATGCAATAGATGAAAACAATTCTGAAGTCTTACAAAATAACAGACTATGCAGTTAAAAAAACGAAATCACTTAAAATGGACTTGATCCCACCAGTGAAAGTGTTGACTTCCACAAGAACATAATGATTATGACTCGTTGTTAGTTAATTAGAAAAGATATACACAAGAACTAGGTGTGGCAGGGCAAATGCTTAATAGTTCTAGCTATTAGGTAGACTGAGGCAGGAGGACCAGCTGAAGATCATCATGACAAAATGAGATCCTTTCTCTTGGGAAAAAAAAAACAAACAAACCAAACCAGGCCTGTTAGAATCATGTGGTGGGTAAAGTCCTTGCTGCCAGGCCTGACCTGAGTCCAGCCCTCAGTACCCACAAGGTAGAAAGAGCCCTGACTGCCATGTGGGCTTTGGCATGCTCATCTGCACACAATTTAATACTTTTCCTAATACTTTCTCCATCTTCTGAGTGCACGGTACTGAGTTTATAGGCATGTGACATTACTCTTGGCTCTTTACAAAAAAAAAAAACCAAAAAAACCTGCCTCCCTGCCCTTTATTGGGCTTGGAGAGATGGCTCAGTAGATTTTGGTTCCTAGTATCCACATTAGGCATCTCACAGCTATTTGTTAACTGTAGCTCCAAGGGATCCAAGGTTTTTGGCCTCCAAGGGCACCTGCACTCATGTGTGCACACCTACATGAAGGCACATACACCTACATGAAAATAAAACTTTTATTACTGTGTAAGTATACGTGTCTGCATAGGTGTGCACATGTCACCGTGCATGTGTGGAGGTCAGAAGACAACTCTGTAGAGCTGATTCTCTCCTCCTTTTACATGGAATTCTGGGAGTGTACTCAGGTTACTAGGCTTGCTTAGGAAACGCTTTACCTGCTCAAACACCTTGCCAGTCTTCTCCATGATTTTTAAGTGCATTCTTTTCTAGTTTTCTAAGAGGTAGTCTGGCTATATTATTCAGGCTGGCCTTGAAACCTTGGGTGCAAGCAATCCTCTTACCTATTCTCCAGAGTAGCCAGGAAGAGCCCAAACATCTGGCCTAATCTCCTCTCCCACCAATACTTGAGATTGAATATGGTGTCTCTAACAAGATAGAAAGTGAAAGCACTTTCACTCACTGCTGAGCTACATTCCCAGCCTTCTCGTCACTAAGATGTCCAGGCTGGCTTTGGATTTGTGATTACCTGCCTCAGCCTCCTGAGCAGATGGGATTACAGGCCTGTACCACTTGGGCTTTTTTCCATGTTTTGTTTTTTCCCCAGTTTTTTGAGACAGGGTTTCTCTGCATAGCTTTGGTTATCCTGAAACTCTGTAGACCAAGTTGGTCTACCTGCCTCTGCCTCCTGAGTGCTGAGATTAAAGGCATGTACTGCCAACATCTGGCATTTTTTTTGAGGTAGGGTCTCATTATATAGCCTTGACTGGCTTAGAACTCATGATGTAGACCAGGCGGGCCTCAAACTCACAGAGATCTGCCTATCTCTGCTGGGATTAAAGATCAGCAATAAGGTTTGGTGTGGGTTTTTTTTGTTTTTTGTTTTTCCTACTTCTGAGACAAGGTCTCATCTCACTATATAGCAGTGGTTTTCAAGCTGTGAGTCAAGACCCCTTTAGGGATCACACATATCAGATTTCCTTTAATCCCAAGGCCTGGGAGGCAGAGACAGGCAGATCTCTTTGAGTTCGAAGACAGCCTGTACAGACAGAGCTAGTTTCAGTACAGCCAGGGCTACACAGAGAAATCCTGTCTTGAAAAACCAAACCAAACCAAACCACATAAATGAAATTCTTCTTAAAAAAATTTTTTATTTAATGTATATGAGTGCATGTATGCCTTTATACCAGAAGAGGACATCAGATCCCAATAGAGATGGTTGTGAGCCACCATGTGGGTGCTGGGAATTGGAACTCAGGACCTCTGATAGAACAGTCAGTGCTCTTGACCGATGAGCCATTTCTCCAGCCCAAAATGAAATTCTTAGTATGGAGAGAGAATTCAGAAATGCACATGTGAAGCAGAACAGTAGTTTAATTTACCTTGGAAGGCAAACATTTCTAAATAACATAAAAAATTTTAATTTTGTGTGTGTACATGTGGCAGAGAATTTGTAAGTTGGCTTTCTCTTTCCATCCTGTGGGGCCTGGAGAATGAACTCAGGTTGTCAAACCTGGCAATAAGGACCTTTACACCACTAAGCCATCTTCCAGATTCCACTAAATAACCATTTTTAAAGGCATTTTAGTTTTTCTAAAGAAAAACAAAAGTGAGTGGTGGTTCAAAGGAGGAAAGTGAGAAGAAACCAGCTAAAAGCTAGTCCATGTGGTGACCCTTGTATCCTATGAGTATATTCTACTATTGCCAGGTTATGGTCACTAAGCTCTACTCCAGCAAATCACTGTTGAGAAATCTTGTCACTATGATATGGTTGCAGGTTACTATGACTCCCGGATTTCTATAGCAAAACCAGTCAACTTTCAAGTTTTCTTCTAACACACACACGCTCATTCATTTCACCAATGGAAACACCTATTTATAACAACACTGAACATTACCTACCCGTTGTCCAGAAGAAAAAGAATGAGAACAACTAACTTCCCCAACTAAATGAAGAAGAACGTAGGTCAGGTAATATGCCTGTTAGAGAGACAAAGAAAATTACTACCCATGAAAAAGCTAAACAAATACCACCCCAGTCTACTGATTAGCAAGGTTGCCCAGGAAAGCCAGGATTTAACTAACTTGGTGAGGAACGAAAAGCCATGCACTTCAACCAGACTTTCTGATTTCTGAATTAAGTGCTTCCTTTTTTACCCCTTACTACTGCTGTACGCAGTGCAGGGCCACAACAGAACACATTAAATTACCAACAACTGCCCTTTCACCCGAACTTTCAGCTCTACTCTGGAGAATTTTCCAAAAGCAATAAACTCTAAAACATCGTTTACTGTATGCCCGATGCATTCTCTGAGCTCTGGCTCTGGATACCTGCTTTTCAAGTTCTAAATGAAGACTGTCATCAATAGTTCCATTTGGTTGTTCAGCCCTTTTCTTCAAGACCATTTTCTTCAACAAATCAGAAGGCTTCATCTGTACTAGATAGCGATGTAGGACTGAGATCTATCAAGGGAAGAGAGACTCAGTCAATTCTAGTGCAGTGCTCTTTCTTGAGCTAATTCCAGTGTGCCCTCTGTCACTCTGGCTCCTTTTCCTGGCTTGATAATTCTGAAACCCATTTTTCTGTTTACTTCAAAGTCCTCAATTGCTTAAGGTGTTTTATGTTAAGATTTAGTATTTGTAATTTAGGTTAAATGCTTAGAACAAGATCAAATGATATTATAATAGAGGTCACTGAATTCTAAAAAAGAAGCACTATCTATCCAATGTGGTGGCTCATGCTGGCAATCCCAACACTTGATGCTGAAGCAGGAAGATCACTGGGAGTTTAAGGCTGACTGGGCTATCAGAGAGTGGCAGGTCTGGCTGACATCAAGTAGTCAGCCTGATGGTTAATTATTCATGCAGTTCTCTTTTCTATAGATATAAGGAAAAGGCGATAGGCAAGACAAACATCAGTAAGGCTAACTGCAGAAATCCTATCCTGGATCCCTTGGTGGCTATAAATATTACTGAATGGACTGAGGACTTTTAATTATTTTAGTGGCTCAGGAATGGTGCCCACATATCTGCAATCAAATCCACTTCCACCCGACTAGGGTGGCAGTCAGTTCTGTCAGATAATATGCATAGCATCTTGTGCATATTCTAATACTGCTCTTATATTTAATGGGTCATACTACTAGATTATGTCTTCCAGAGTACAGTCTCATTTTTTATTTATTTCTAGGACATAACCTAGTAACTTACAGTGAACTGCAATTCAAACAAGAACAATACAGGGACACCCAAGACAAGGTTCTGTGAATTTTTAAGTCCAATTAAGGGCAGCCCTTATCTTAGTTCAGGTTTCTATTGCTGTGAAGAGACATCATAACCACAGCAACTCTTATAAGGGAAAAATTTAATTGGGGTGGCTTGCTTACAGTTTCTGAGGTTTAGCTCATTGTTACCATGGCAGGGAGCATGGCAGACATTGTGCTAGCTACATCTTGATCAGAAGACAACAGGAAGTTGACTGAGACACTGGGTGGTATCGTGATCAGAGAAACCCCAAAGCCTGCCTCCACGATGACAAACTTTGACTAACAAGGCCATACCCACTCCAACAAAGCCACACCTCCTGATAGTGCCACACTCCATGAGATGATGGGGGCCAGTTACACTCAAACCACCACAGCCCTATTAGTGTTATCAATGTTTGCAAAGTCATCAGAACTCAGAGTGGTGTTCCTATAAGTTATATTTATACATATTCATATATATCTACCAGTATACCCTCTATTGAACAAGTACTGGAGGCAAACCACATTAAGTTCTATGATCCATAAAGACCACTTTATTAAAATAGGTATAAGATGTGGTTAATAGCTTTGTCATTTCTAATCCTGTGACCACAATTTCTAATGCTGTTAATCTTGGGAAATTGAATAAATTCTCAATGTAACAGCTGCTAACAGCACATTAAGATTTTCTCAAAAGTTTACTTATAGATTAATTCATCTGTCTATACTTGTCCTATAGGGTAGAGGCTATAACATCTCCATTTTATAGTGGATTAACCTGGTTCTTCTTTTATTAGGTACAATGCAAAAGACTGTATCAACAGTATCATGCTTGAAAGCTTAATTTACTCAAGACTGTGTTTTGGTTTTTTGAGACAGGGTTTCTTGCCTTCGCAGTGCTGGGACTAAAGGAATGAGCCACCATGTCTGGCAAGTCAGGACTTCTGATTTAGGATTCATCAAATCTCCCAACATCTCACCAACTCTCTCATTTATTAGAAACAAAAGTATTTATACCTGAAGATTATTGGCATTAGGGATATCTTCGTGTTTTTCATCCAAAAGCTTTGAAATAATCACTAGACTGAGGCACTGCCTCAGTTGCCTGGAATTAGAAATGAAAAGTTTTTACAATGTGTTTAAACAATACTACTTGACAAGCAAGCAAATGAGCCAAATGGAACCTTAGTCTCTTGGGGCTGTTTCAAAACCAACTGTTACAGAGCAGTGGTATTAATGTAAAATATGTGCACATCAGGTTAGAACTGCCTAGAGCTGGGGATAGTTCAGTTGGTAGAGTGCTTACCTAGCATACACTAAGCCCTGGTGTGGCCGTGCATGCCTGTAATCCTAGTGCTCAGCAGGAAGATCAGAAGTTCAAGATCACCCTCTCCTACAGAGTGAGCTCCAGATTCTGCTTGAGCTCCTAAGAACTTGTCTCATAAAAGTAGAAAAGAAAGCTGATTGTGGTGGTGCACGCCTTTAATCCCAGCACTTGGGAGGCGGAGACAAACAGGTCTCTGAATTCAAGGTCAGCCTGGTCTACAGAGAGGTCCAGAACAGACAGGGATACACAGAGAAACCTTGTCTCACCCCCCCCCAAAAAAGGAAATTAATTTTTGCTATATATCATCTATACCAGCTGTTCTCAACCCCTAGCAGTAGGGTGGTGGTTCGAATGACCCTTTCACAGGGGTTATATATCAGATATCCTGCACAACAGATATTTACCTTATAATTCATAACCATTTAGTTGTGAAGTAGCAAAAAAATAATTTTATGGTTGGGGGTCACCACAAAATGAGGAACTGTATTAAAGTGTCATAGCATTAGGAAGGTTGAGAACCAATGAGCTATACTTATACTGACTTATCTGATAAGCTAAAAATAAAAACCAAGAATAGTCAGTCATGTTCTGAATTAAAGTAACATAAGCAGGCTCATACCCCCATAAACAAACAAACAAACAAATAAATAAAAGAACATTCAAAAAATGATGAATAGAAACAAAAGTTCCAAGTTGGGTGTGGTGGCCTAGTCCTGTAAACTTAACCCTCAAGAGAGGCTAAGGCAGGAAAACCGTGAGTTTGAGGCCAGCTGAGGCTACATAGTAAGACCCTGTTTCACAGTAAGAACTCCAAAGCGTTTACCTAGCATCAGCATTATAAAACATCTTGATGTTTATTTCACTTTACAATACCTTCCACGAGATGTCCAGTTAGGGACCAGCTGCACCAACCACAGAAGGTTGTGGGGATGACTGGAGAGTTCATTTATGCCCACACAGAGTTCATGTACCTGGAAAAAGAGAACAAGCCCAGGATCAGAGCTACAGACCTTCTTGCCTTGATGGAAGTCACTAAAACAGAACTCTGAAGTTTTGAAAATGCATGCCATTTAGAGCATACTAGAATGCATATAACACAAGTTCTGTTTTTTTCTTAAAGTATCCTAGAATGGTCACATACTAGCATTTAATTTATATATTTACACTAGCATTTCATGTCACTCTCATGTTGTTGCTACACTTGAAAGCAACTTGGTCTTTCTTGAAAGAATAAAGTATTCAAATACCAGTTTCCCTAAGTGTGTACACCACCACCACCACCACCACCACCACCACACACACACAAACACACACACACACACACACACACACACACACACACACACACACACACACACGAAATCATATATATTCCAGATCTGAAAATTCTTGCACGCTTGGATCCTATTACAGTATTTTTGTTTTCTTCTGGCTATGGAGCTCAGCCTTGTACTTGCTAGGCATGTACAAAACACCTGAACTATCCTTTAGCTCTCTAGCTATCATATTAAAAATCGACAGCTGCTTCAAAATAAGCTGATGAGCATGGGAAGAATGCAGTATGATCAGACAAAATGAATTACTTTTTGATAATTTTTGGAGCTTGGTGACAGTTACTCCGTTTAGTTATTTTTGTTATTGTTTTCAAGATAGGGTTTCTCTGGATAGCCTTAGCTGTCCTAAAACTCACTCTGTAGACAAATCTGGCCTCAAACTCACAGAGATCTGCCTGTTTCTGCTGGGGTTAAAGGCATGGGCCATCATGACCCAGCACTCAGGAGTTTATTATGCTCCTCCTGGCTCTAGTTTAAAAACTTCTATGAAAAATGGGAAAAAGCCTAAAAAAATTACTCATGTTCAGCCACCCCCATAGCTATTTAAGTTCAACTCAATCCCAGCTGCAGGCATAACTATCATGTCATTTATGCTCAGAGGTCATTTCAGAAAGACTATCCTTGAAGGCCTCAGATGACATCACTGCAGCCCTGCTGTGCTAATCTTGCCACACTGGTCACCCTTTATAATCTGTAACACTTGATTACAACCTGAAATGTGTGGTGATATAATGTGTCCCCCAAAATATTGTGTACCCTAATAAAGCTTATCTGAGGATCAGAGGAAAAAGCCAGCAACTATATTAAACACAGAAGTCAGGCAATGGTAGCACATGTCTTTAATCCTAGCATTCGGGAGGCAGATATATATCTGGATCGCTGTAAGTTCAAGGCCACACTGGGGAACAAAGCCAGGCATGGTGCCTTTAATCCGAGCACTAACCATAGAGGTCTGTAGAGACAGGAAGTGATGTAGCTGGGTGGAAAGAGGAAGTGAGATGCAGAACAGAAAGGCATATATGAGTGGGTATACAGGAAGTAGGTCTCTTTGGCAGAGGATTTCCAAGTGGTAAGAACATGGCTGGCTTCTTTCTGCTTTTCTGATCTCAGATTTTACCCCAATATCTGGCTGTGGGTTTTTTATTAATAAGACCGTTTAGCAATTCGTCTTACAGAAATGTCACTTTACCACATCTGTATTCCTTTGCTCATCCACTAATTGAACGAGTGGTAAGGAGGCCCAGCAAAGGCAAAGGTGTAAATGCTCAGACATAGTAAATCTCCAATAAAATGTTGAAAAGACAGCTACCGAGTTCCAGCAAATAGTACCTTCCTCAGCTACTTTCCATGGTTAAACTTCTTGATTGAGCATAGAATCTTTGAATTCTGAGTACACATGAAACAATGTGATGCTGTACAACACCTAGAGCTTTATTTATCTGTAGACTAGTCTCCTGTAGCCACTGCGTAGCTGAAGATGACATTATTAGCTCTTCAACTTCCTGCCTTTACTCATAAATGCTAGAATTACAGGTATACACAGCCAACCTTGGCGCAACACCTAAATTTTAAGAAATGTTACCTTTGTGTTCCAATCTCTGATGTTTTTCATGAGATTTATCAGGAGGCTTTGAAAGTCTACTAACGGAATCTGTTTCAGCTCTTTTTCCAAACTCATTTTAAATAGCATTAAAATCAGCAACATTATTTCTCGATCTTGGTAACCTTCTGGATGTATAGATGTACACAAGCCCAGGAACTGCCAGAAATGCACAAAGAAAAAAAATTACTTCAAGAGTTTAAATTATACTCTTGACAAAAGATTAACAAGTATCAGATGTCTAGAAAAGGCAAGAAATGCAACACAAGTAGTGGAATGAAAGGTAAATATTTCTTTCTCCATTTTCAGTATTAGTGACTGGCTTCAGCAACTAAAATTAAATTATACTGTAACACTTAACAGTGAAATTCTGACCTGAAGTTCCCTTTTGTTCTTAATATTAAAAGAAAAATGCATTTATAATGGAAATACAATTGCTAAGACCTTTCACTTGGTAAGAAACCAGTGGAATTTTAAACAATTAACCACAAAACTGGTTCTGACTCTTTGCTACAGATATACAAAGTCTTTCATACCTTAACTACATTTAAAATGTTGGTCTCAGGAAGAGTTGAAAAAACGGGATTACAAGATGAATCTTCGCTTCCTCTTCCCCCTAGTGTTTTCTGTGTTTCAAAACTATTGAAAAGGGAATAAAGCATGTATTTCAGAACCATTGAGAAAGCAGTATGGAATCAGGCATAAAATACTCACTGTGGGAAATTCTGAACAACTACTTTATTAAGTCAGGGTCTCATTCTGCTGCACAGGCAAGCCCCAAACTTATACTCACCCTGCCTCAGCCTCCTAAGAAGCTGGGTTTACAGGTGCATGCCACTGTACCCAGCATAGTTTCCATTTGAAACGGTTACTTTCCTTAATGCTCCCATGTCAGAAAGCTATGTAAGACAGGGTTGATACAATAAAAATAGCTGATGATTGTTATAGGCCCTATGAGTGACCTAAAGAAACTGCCAAACTAATATAGAGAATTATAGAGGCTAAGGAGATGGCTCAGTGCTATGCAAGCATGAAGACCTGAGTTCTAATCTCTAACAACCACACACAATTCCAGGCATGCCTGTAAGTGTCTGAAATTCTAGCACTGGGAGATGGAAACAGGAATATACCATGAGCTCACCAGCCAGCCGAGGTGAAGGGTAAGTTTCTGGTTCAGTGAGAAGACCTTGCCTCAAGGCAATTGGGTGGGAAATCGTCTAGGAAGATACTCAACCTCCTGCTCTGGTCTCTGCATGTGCATGCACAGAGGAGTAGGTACAGGTACACTTACGTGTGTGCACCACGAGCACACACACACACACACAATTCTAAGCATTTGAAAAAAGATGCATGAACTTGGCCTTTTTATTTTTTAATTATGTGTGTATTTATGGGTTTGTGCACATGAGTGTAGTGCCAATGGAGGCCAGAAGAATGCATGGGAACCCCTGAACCTAAAATTACAGATTATGGGGAACTAAACTCAGGTCTTCTGTAAGAGTAGTATGCGCTCTTAACCACTGAGCAATCTCTGCAGCCTCTGATTTTGACTTTTGAGACATATTTTTACTTAAAACAACAAAAACCGAACAATATTCATTTGGCAAAACAAAACCAAGAAAACACAATGTATCAAATGACTGTATATAACTCTCTTTGCCTTCCCAACGGACTCTTCCGAGACTAGCTTCCTCCTCCCACAGTTGCTATTGTTTTAGTCCTTCCTTCCACAAACATCTTCCACATCAAGAGCAAGCATGAACACAGGACATTTGGTCTTTGTTTCCAGGTCCCAGCAAGAGCTAACAACTGCTGAAACTCCCTTCATGCAGATAAGGTGACTCATGAAGACCACAGTAACTGACCTATGATTAGAGGGTTAGAAATTAAGCTCTACCCAGAGGGGCTAGAGAACAAACTGATCAACAAATGGCCAACAGTTTCATCTACCATCCTTGTGAAATGGAACCTCTATCTGGAGACATGGCTTGGTGGTTAAAGACAACTCCCCCATTTTGAAGCTTCGGTAGGAAACCCATGTATTTGGTGTCAGAACAGAAGGTTTTCCACCTTTCACAATGGCCCTCTGCACCCACTTGACTACAAACAGTGCCCTAGTGTGTACTGTTCTCTAGCTTCCCGTTTTCTCTTAGCAATGTACCTAGAAGATCCCTCCACACCTGCATGTGGAATTCCTGTTTTCTTTTGTGCCCCATTACCTTTGATGGGAGCTCTTGCATGAGCATGATGGGGTTATTTCTGGGCAAGGCTGTTACTAGTGGTCATAGCAAAGAGTAAGATGATCCTGCTCTCCTTGTAATCATATATATATACTGCTTACAGCTTCTCGAGGGGCAGGTCATCATGAGTCTCGTGCAGGTAACTACTGCTAAGTTTATAGGTACAACAGCCACGTCATGCCCAGAAGACAGGATTTCACAGCTCTCCTTCCCAACCTTCAACTTGCACACTCTTTCTGTCCTCCCTTCTGTGATGTATTCCCTGGGCTCTGGAGCATTTTTTGTTTTTGAGATGGTCTCACTCTGTAGTTCAGGCTAGCCTGGAACTATGCCCAATCTAGCTTCTAATTTATGGTGATCCTCCTGCCTTAGCCTCTCACATGTTGGGGTTACAAATAGAAGGCACCAGAGTTACTTTAAAAAGAAAAAAGAGCTGGGTGGCACTCACCTTTAATCCCAGCACTAGGATCTCTGTGAGTTCAAGGCCAGCCTCATTTACAAAATGAGTTCTGGGACAGCCAGGGCTACACAGAGAAACCTTGTCTCAAAAACCAAAACCAAAATAAAAAAGCTAACAACAACAAAAAAGAGCTGGGTGGTGGTGGTGCACACCTTCAATCCCAGCACTTGGGAATCAAGTAGATCTCTAAGTTTGAGGCCAGCCTGGTCTACAGAGCACGTTCCAGGACAGCCAGGGCTACACAGAGAAACCTTGTCTCGAAAACAAAAACAAAACCAAAAAAAAAAAAAAAGACAAAAAACCAAACCAAACCAAAAGAAAGAAAAGAAAACAGGGTAACTATAGGTAGCCATGGCTGGTCTAGAAATTACTATTTATTTATCATCAGCGAGACTTGAGAACTTATAGCATTCCTCCTGCCTCAGCCTCCCAAGTGCTGAGATCATAGGTATGAGCCACCAAAGCCAGCCATTTTTTTTTCTTTTTATAAGTAGCTTCTTGGTGGGTCTTAGTCCCCTCTCTGCATAACTTTCAGCAAATTACTTCATCTTTCTGTGCTCAACTCACTTAGAAAATGGGAATGAATTACTAGTAATATTTGTAGTTAACTATATTAAGATACTACGTCAAACCCTTAACTGTGTCTGGTACACAGCAAGTACTAAATAAAGGCTTCGAACTGTGATGTAATGATGTGCAAAAATAACAGACAGATCAATTTGGTAAGAACAAAAGGCTAAAGAACAAAACAGAAAATTGGTCTGAGGCCCAGTATTTCACAGCTCTTAGGTTTAAGCTGGAAGATCTCAGTTTGAGCCTAGACCGAGGTAACATAGTGACCCTTGTCTCCAGTGGGGAGAAAAATAGGAAAAATAGAAAATAGGTAAGTAAAATTATAAACTCAATATATTATATACAAGTGCAGAGATTTCTTCTAATGGTGAAGAGTCTTGGACAAAGAAATGCTAGAAAAAAAGGTGTTTGGCAGGCTAGGCATGGAGAGAGGATCTGACTTAAAACTGATACTAAACATATAAAGGAAGAAATAGCCATGAGACAGGTAAAGGAAGAAAACACTGGCGTGTCGACTGAAAATGGTAGAATGTTCTTAGGACTCACATTTTAAGTCAGTGTATCTAGACGTCAGTTGAGACTGCCAGTCTCTGACAGCTCCCCTCTGAACACACGTCACCCCTGCATACCGCACTCAGTAAGTACTCCCCTGTGAACACACGTCACCCCTGCACACCGCACTCGGTACTCCCCTGTGAACACACGTCACCCCTGCACACTGCACTCAGTAAGTACTCCCCCGTGAACACACGTCACCCCTGCACACCGCACTCGGCACTCCCCCGTGAACACATGTCACCCCTGCACACCGCACTCAGCACTCCCCTGTGAACACGTCACCCCTGCACACTGCACTCAGCACTCCCCTGTGAACACACGTCACCCCTGCACACCGCACTCGGCACTCCCCCCTGAACACACGTCATCCCTGCACACCGCACTCGGCACTCCCCTGTGAACACACGTCACCCCTGCACACCGCACTCGGCACTCCCCCCTGAACACGCGTCACCCCTGCACACCGCACTCGGCACTCCCCTGTGAACACACATCACCCCTGCACACTGCACTCGGCACTCCCCCCTGAACACGCGTCACCCCTGCACACTGCACTGGAATTACAGGCAGTTGTGAGCAGCCTGACGGGTAATGGTGACCCAATTTAGGCTCTCTGGAAGAGCAGCAAGTGCTTTTTTTTTTAATGTTAATTTAACTTCATTTTATGTGCATTGGTATGAGGGTGTTGGATCCCCTGGAACTGGAGTTACAGACAGTTATGAGCTGCCATGTGGGTGCTGGGGATTGAACCACGGTCCTCTGGAAGAGCAGCCAGTGCTCTAAACTGCTGAGCCATCTCTCCAGCGCCGCAACAAGTGCTCTTAATCACGGAACCTTATCTCCAGAAAACCCTTCAAATTATATTGATAAATACTATTAACATTTTTGTATTAATGCAATTATTTGATTCCACCACTTTGCATGCTTACTAAAATCAATTAAAAACTCAATGTATATACAACAGACAAAATTAGTAAGTACTATTGAGTTTACCAAAAATAATGTAGTTGGTATTTTAAATGTTTATATCTATGTATTTGTTTATTGTTAGTTGTGTGATTCCCTGTGTAGATATGTCCTAGGGATGAGAGAGATTGGATCCCCTAGAGCTGGAGTTACAAGCAGTTGTGAATCAAGGAACATGGGTGCTAGGAACCAAACTTGGATCTTCTACAAGAGCAGCACAAACTCTTTATTGCGAAGCCATCTCTCTAGCTCCTAAACTGTTTATATCATCCAAAAGTAGGAGGTATTTTTAAATGGGTATATTATGGCTGGGTGTGGTAATGGTGCATGTCTTTGATACCAGCACCTGGGAAGCAGAGGCAGGTGAATTCTTGTGACTTCAAGGCCAGCTAGTCTACACAAGTTCCAGGCCAGTCAGGGCCCACATAGTGAAACCCTGTTTAGGGGGTGGTGGGAAGAGGTTATTTAGTTGTCTGGGTGTGGTGGCACATACCTCCAATGCCCTAACTTAGGAGGCAGAGGCAGGAGTCAAGTTTAGGACAGCCAGAGTTACTGTTTCAAACACAAACAGAATGTTCTAATAAAAGGAGGGGATTTTGGATAGGCTGGGAAGGCATTGTTTCCTCTATTTAAAGCAGCAGTAGAGCATGTCTACAATTTTGCTACTCAACGTTACTTTCCGATGTGAAGTGAGCCTAGGAAACAAGAGTCCAGTCACAGTGAAAAGAGAGAGAATGGTATAAGTAAATTTGGTTTTGGACCAAATTTGCATTTTTCTTATGAGTGAGCCAACATGAGTATGTGCTCCAGAGCAGTAAGGACTGCTCTGACTTCTTTCGTCCTCTCCTCTGCCCACTTGTGGTGTGCTGCTGATGTGTGTCTTGCACACCTGAAGTCCAGGTTGTGCTCTTCTCTCACCTGTGCTCCCACCCTGCTCTTTCTTCCCCTCCACTTTGAAGGTTTTCTTTGATATTACTTAAAATAATCATTGCTGGGGCTGGAGAGATGGCTCAGCAGTTACGAGCACTAGCTCCTCTTCCAGAGGTCCTGAGTTCAATTCCCAGCAACCACATGGTGGCTCTCAACCATCTATAGTGGGGTCTGATGCCCTCTTCTGGCATAAAGTCATACATTCAGATAGAGCACTTAAAAAAACAAACAAAAAACCATTGCCATCAAGACTTCAAAAATGCAGGGCTAGAGAGCTGTCTCAGCAGTTAAGTGCAAATTCCCTGCACCCTCATGGCAGCTCACAACTGTCTGTAACTCCAGTTCCAAGGGACCTGACATCCTCACATAGACATACATGCAGGCAAAACACCAATGCACATAAAATAAAAACAAATAATTATTAAAAAAAAAACTTCAAAAATGTGATCAAATTCACATTTCCTCTCATGGAGGCTTTACTTTACACATAAAACCATCTTCTCCTATAATTAAGGCCAGTTTTGCCTCATATTTCTGATTTTTATAAATTTTGACTCAGTTGTATGGTCCAGCTCCTTCCTATCCCCCAATTGTGCTGACATTTAGTCCTGTATCTGAACACCTAGGCTAGAATTCCACGTTAGAGCACACAGTAGACTGTCCATTTACAGTCTTTTTTTCTTTAGTAATTTATATACACACATTTCTAGTTAGGTTTATTTTCTAGATTCCCCCCCACCCACTAAATTCTTTCTTTTGGCATACTTTTAACTAGTTAATAATCAAATACCGGAAGGTTATTGGCTTCTCTTTATAAATTTTACTCCTCAGTGTCCACACCAAATCTGCTTATCAGAGTCTTTTAGTTGATTCTTAGGCCTTGATGCACAGACTGAATCATTTATCAAATTATTTTTTTACCAAGTTCTTTCCAATTTTTATGGTTTCCCCCACCTCTTGTCTAACTGCTTTGCCCAATAAATATCTGCATAACATTTTCTAAAACTTAAATTTATTGAGGGTTGGGGTTGGGTATATAGGTGGGTAGATGGTGTGTGAGTTTGGGTGTGTGTGCCAAGGTCCTAGTATAGAGGTCAGAGGACAACTTTGGGGAGTCAAATGATTTCCTTCTGCCATGTGTCCCAAAGACAGAACTGAGGTGAATTTATCTGGCTTGCACGAGAAATGCTTTTACTTGATTAGCTATCTTGCTGGCCTCGTAAACCAATGTTAAATAACAATGAGAAGTCTTTAAAACTCTTTACAGGAATGTTTCTACTATTTCCCCGTTAAACATGATGACAACTTCTAGATTAGGGCAGATATTTAGAATGTATTTCTAGACTGATTCCAGCTTTGAATTTAAGTCAATAATGAATACTGATTTTATTAATCAATTATAATGACAATGAAAGGATATTATTAAAAAAATCTTTTGAGCCCAGTGTGGTGGCACATGCCTTTAACCTCAGCACTTGGGCGGCAGAGGCAAAGTGAATTTCTGTTAGTTCAAGGCCAGTCAGCATGTTCTACATAGCAAGTTCCAGGCCAGGTAGGGCTACAGAGTAAGATACTATGTAAAAAACAAAAAAACAAACAAAACAAAACAAAAAACCCCAAAGATCTGTTTGGTGTTTACTATGAGAAGAAAACTTACATTAGATTGTCTTCATTAAAGTCTGGCTGAAGAGTCTCCAGAGGAAACAAAGATCCAAAACCAACGCCCATGTTTAAAAACACAGCTGCGATATCGGACAGTGATGGGGTCCACGGCCAAACTGGTGAGTCACTGAAAGTATCTGGTGAACACAGAAATTATTTTAATTCAAACCACTCATGCACAAAGGCACACTGCAAAGTGACAGTCCACCTGTGAAGCAGATTATTGTAATTTTTTTCTTCTTTCACTTTTTTTGAGACAAGTTTCACCATACAGTCTATGCTGGGGTTATAGGCATATGCCACCATACTTGACTTTCATCACAATGACTTCACAGAAATGATAGCTGCTTATGGAATGTTAACAATATAGTTAAGGTACATCAGAGAAAGTATAACTTACCAGATTGTGTGAACTAAATAATACAAAGAAAATATATGAGTGATCCATTAGAGTGTAAGTCATAATGAAGTAACATGTTTTGAAACGATTAGACACAACACTGGTTAAAATCCTAACTACCATTAACACTAGAAGTCTTTATCATCTTCAGTGGCCTCATAGTCTTCATCCCTCAAATAAGTGATTGGTGAAATCACAATCTTTCTTGTATTAAAAGGGCTTTCAAAGGTGAGAAACCAACACTCACACTTAGATGGCTTCAATCTGCCTCAACGCACTATTAACACAACCCTGCTGTTAATTCATAATCAAATTAAAATCAGTTGTTTAAATCTAAGCCCAGAGGTGTATACTTGTAATCTTAGTACTCAGAAGGTTGAGACAGGATTTAGAGTTCAAGGCCAGCCCAGGTTACAAAGTTAGTTTGAGATAGCCTCAGCCACAAGAGACTGTCAAACAGTAACAATAACTAACCCTAAATAATAATTTTTAATTGGGTGATTTAGCACATAAGCTTCCAAATATTTCTACTGACCCTATAAAATAACTCACATGTTAAATATTAAGGGTTGTCACTTGTAAGATCTGAGATTTTTTTTTTTTCCTCAAAGAACATAGAAAATCAGACACTTGTTTTTGAGTGGTATTTCATTCCTTTTTTGAAGATGTGTGATTACAGGGTTAGAGAGATGGCTCAGTGGTTAAGAGCACCCACATGGCAGCTCACAACTATAATTCCAATTCCAGGGGACCTGACACCCATGGCAAAACACCAATGCACATAAAATAAATAAATAAAAAAGTGTGATTCCAAAGAGTAATTTTAGAGCTAGGATATATAGTTCAGGTAGAGTGCTTGTTTAACATTCATGAGGTCCATATTTAACCTCCAGTACCAGCAGAAATCAAAACAAAAACACAATTCTAACATTAAGCAATATGAAAGTGATCGTGTAATAACCAACAGCACATACTGCAAATCAATTTATGTACTCACCATTTCTAATGGTTATTTCCATCAATGTACTTAAAATTTGTACAGACACAATACAATTTGTGTGAACTGACATCATCTGTCAAAAACATAAATAATTGTTAGAAAGAAAACGTGAGTTTAGTATTTGCTAGGCTCATATTAAGCTATTGAAGTTTGGTAATATGGAGAATGTTCTTAATACTAGCTCCTTAGGAGGCTAAGACAAGAAAATTGTGACTGAGTCTAGCCCAAGCAAAGCAGTAACATCCCACTTCCAAAATAGTTTCATGTGCACTTTACTTAACACAATCACCTAAGAAGGGTTTTCATTATATGTATAAACACACAGACCAATACCTTACCAATGGGGCATATGTTCATTAACAGATCCATAGGAGGTGGGACCAAACACGGGTCTAGTCTCAGTTCAGGCCTCTTTGCATTCTAACAGGCTACCTGGTTTCTAGTGTTTGTTCATAATTTTTACAACTTCTACTTGTAATTAGGTAAATAACATTTGAAATCATAAAAAGCTACTTTTCTAGGGTGTAGCACCATTCCAAACTAAATATAAAGAAAGGGCTGGGAAGATGACTTAGTTGTTAAAATGTTGGTGAACAAGTGTGAAGACCTGAGTTCTATCCTTTGTACACACATAAAACCCACGTATGGCTGGGTGTGGTCGTGCACACTTTTAATTCCAGAATGTGGGAAGCAAAGGCAGGCCGATCTCTTCTGAGTCTGAAGTCAGCCCGGTCTACATAGAGTTCCATACCATCTATGGTCATGTAGTGAGACCTCATTTCAAAATACAAACAAACCCAAGCATGGTGTTGTACATTTTTTTTTCTTTTTAACTTTATTGTTACTTTTATGTGTATGAGTGTTTTGCCTGATTTTATGTCTGTGCACCACACACATACAAGTCCCATGGAGGCCAAAAGAGGGCATCAGATCCCCTGGGACTGGAGTTTAGATAGCTGTTAGCTGCCATGTAGGTGCTGAGAATTTAATCTGGGTCCTCTAGAAGAGCAACCACTGCTCTTAACCACTGAGCCATCTCTCCAGCAGGATGGCATGCATTTGCAATTTCCAGCTTTGGGGAAATAGACACAAAGGATTCTTGGAGCTCACTGGTCAACACAGACTAGCCAATAAGTCAGCTCCAGGTTCAGTGGAAGACTCTGTCTCAAAAAAATCAAGTAGAGAGCAACTGCGGACCCTCACGTCAACCCCTAGCCAACACATGAGCACGTGTGGGCACACCCCCCCCCACACACACACTTCCTCTAACTCCCACCCCTCAAACTATAAAGAAAAAGACATAGGCAGAAGTCACACAGGGCTGGGAAGATAGTTTATTTGTTAAAATGTTTCCTGTGTAAGAAGAGGGCCTGAGTCAATCACCAGAACCTGTGTATATAAAAAAAAAAAAAAAAAAAAAAAAAAAAAAAAAAAAAAGCAAGCCAGTGCCAGTGCTGTGTTATATGCATTTTATCACAGTGCTAGTGAGGCAGAGAGGTGAATTCCTGAGGCTTGCTGGATATGATGGTTTGGATGAAAATGGCCCCATAGGTTCATAGGGAGTGGCACTATTAGAAGGTGTGGCCTTGTTGGAGAAAGTGTGACACTGGGGGTGGGCTATGAGGTTTCAGAAGTGAGCCAGGCCCAGTGTCTCTCCCTTCCTGCTACTTGCTGATCCAGATATAGAACTCCCAGCTCCTCCTGTGTATGGCCATGCCTCCTGCCATGATGATAAAGGACTACACCTCAGAACTGTAAGGCAGCCCTAATTAAATGTTTCTTTTATAAGAGTTGTTGTGACCATGGTGTCTCTTCACAGCAATAAAACCCTAAGGAAGACATTAGCCATGTAGCCTAGTCTACCCATCAAGTCAAGGCCAATAAGAGACCGGTTGTATGATATTTTGTTTGTGTTCTGACAAATAAAGCTTGCCTGGAGATCAGAGGGCAGAGCTAGCCACTAGTTAATCATAGAGGCCAGGGTGGTGGCTTGCACCTTTACTCCCAGCACTTGGGAGGCTCATGCCTTTAATCCCAGCACTCGGGAGGTGGAGACAGGATCTCAGCCCCCTTTCGGGCTGAGGATCCAGAGGTAAGATGTCTCTAGTGGCTGCTGCTCTGATTCTCTGATCTTTCAGGTTATTACCCTGATATTTGACTCTTGGCTGTTCATTGCTAAGACTAATTAGATTCATGTTTCAGAGTCTTGTTCTCAAAGAACAAAGTGGGTGGCGCTTAAGGAACAACATCCCAAGTAGACCCCTGGCCTCTACATTTAAGCCCAGACACAGGAAAGTCAAATCACAGGTTAGTAATTGAAGTTACAAATAAATAATAGACCCATACATTTTTAATTAGGGGAAAGGACTTGAGTCAGGGTCTTAAGTAGCCCTAGCTGTACTCAAACTAGCTATGTATCTAAAATTGACCTGAACTCTTGATCCTCTTGTTTCTATCTCCCAAGTGTTAGGTTTACGGGGGGCACTATCACACCTAGGCACTAACTGTTCTTTTTAAGGAGGAAGGATTCTCCTTGCTTACAGTTTTAAGGGATCACCTTTTTACAGTAGAGAAGGCATGGAGGCAGGACAGCTGGGTGGTCACATTGCACCTACACTCATACAACAGTATTCACTCATATTTTTGAGACAGAGTCTCATGTTGTTCAGGCTCCAATTATCCTAAAGAGAGACCATAGGGTCTCTCACTGAACCTGGAGTGCACTATTTCCCCTAGATTGGGTAGTCAGTAATCCCCCTCCCCCAACTTACTGGCCTCTACCCGGCCCATGGCACTGCTGGGATTACAGATGTGCACAACTGTGCACAGCTTTTATGTGACTGCTGGGATCTGAACTTTAGGTTCAGAGGCACTTTACCCACTAAGCCCTCTCCCCAGGCCCAACTAAGGCACCTTTAAAAAGATGTTCAGTTGTCACCAGAGACACAAGAAAGAACAGTAACTAGTGATTAGCTGCCTTCAAGGACAGGACAGCTGGGTGGTGGTGGCGCACGCCTTTAAACCCACAAACTTGGGAGGCAGAGACAGGTGGATCTCTGAGTCCAAGGCTGGCATAGTCTACAGAGCAAGTCCCAGGACAGCCAGGGCTACACAGAGAAACCCTGTCTCAAAAAACCAAAACCAGAAACCTCATTAACCACCTTCCATTAAAAAACAACAAAAACCCTTTCTTCTTATACTTTGCATAGCTATCTTAGCCTATTAAACTTTTTTTTCACAGTACTTGACTCTACAAACAACAACAACAAAATGGCATCCACTCACACCCCCGCCCCCATCTCTTCCATGTTAGAATGTGGGCTTCATTTGTGTTCAATCCAGTACCTGGCACAGCTGATACTAAAAAATGCCAACCACATGGAAAAACCGAAAGAAGAATATGCTAGAATGTCTAATTCTTGACAAACACCAGATTCCTTGAGTAGAAATGCTATATTGTCTCTTACATCTTAGATCATATGTATGGTTGTTTGAATGAAAATGGCCCCCATAGGCTCATAGGGGGTAGCACTCTTATGAGGTGTGCTCTTGTTGGAGGAGGTGTGGCCTGTTGGAAGAAGTGTGTCACTGGGGGTGGGCTTGGAGGTTCCAGATGATCAAGCCAGGATCTGCCAATCCAGATGTAACACTATCAAGGTAGATCTTTGTGAGCTGGAGGCCTGGTCTACATAGTGAGTTCCAGGCCAGTGAGGGCTACATAATAAGACTTTCTTTAAAAGAAGATAGGATTTCTAAGACAAGACTTGTGTGTGTACGTACATGAAGGCATACTCATCCACACAGGGCCCATTAAGAAAAAAGTTAACACTGACTTCCTGTATGACTCTGACCTTAACTTATTGGGGGTAGGGGAAACAAATGTAAGCCATGGAAAGCCAGGGGAGGTCAGAAGACAACTTCCGGAGCCTGCTGTCTCCTACCATATGGGTTCCAGAGACTGAATCCTGGTTGTCAGGCTTGGAGGCAAGCACCCTTACTGAATGAGACATCTTGCCCAGCCCATTTCATCTTACTTTTTGAGAAAGGGTCTATTGCTGAACCTGGAACTTATTGATTCAGCTAGAATAGCTAGTCAGTGAGCCCCCAGGATCTCCCTGTATCCACTTCCAGCTCTCAAGTTGCAGAGATGTGTTACCACTCCTGGCTTGCAGACTGGTCCTAAGAATCTGAACTTAGGTCCCCTTGTGCTTGTGCAGGAAGATTTTAAGTATTGGGACATTTCTCCTGCCAGTAAGGCAAACTTTTGCATAGTGTAAAAATATACTTTTATACTTAAAAACTGTTTACTCCTATTATTTTCTATACACTCAGAATTTTTAAAAAATAGAACACTCCAGCAGCCTGAGAAAAACCTGACATGAATCTTGTCCTTGGTAGGAGAGTTATTTTTCCTTTAACTGGGCATCATCATAAACAGAGAACTTACTGCAGCATTGAAAGCCCTCTCCATGGCCTCCCAGTTGTCAAAATATACTGTATTAAATCCTAAATTACTGTCTTCTTGATATGTCAAGAGTAATAAACATCTACATTTGTGCCCAACATATCTAGAGAACATCAAAGCAATATATAAAATCAACACCACTTAAATAAAACAAAAATATAAGAAGATATAGCCAGGCATGGTGGTGCACTTCTTTAATCCCTGCACTCGGGAGACAGAGGCAGTCAGATCTCTGTGAGTTCGAGGTCAGCCTGGTCTATAGAGCTAGTTCCAGGACAGCCAGAGCTACACAGAGAAACAAAGAAACCCTGTCTCAAAGAACCAGAAAAAAGGAAATATAAATGGATTTAAGTGTTAAATCTGGACAGAGAAGAGAAGAGCAACATTTGGGTTTGCATATATAAATCAATCCATGGGGGCTGCCGATATGGCTTCGTGGTTAAGAGTAAGAGCCTGTACTGTCTTGTAGAGAACTGGAATTCAGTTCCCAGCATCCAGTTTGGTGACTCACAGTCACCTGTAATACCAGCTCAGCTCCAAGGGATCCAACACCTCTGGCCTCCACAGCCACCTGCACTCACATGCATTTGTCCACACACAGACACATATATGAACAGAGAACATCACTCTCCCTGCCTCATTTTATTCCCCCAGAAATCATGGGTGTAATACACTAATTTTTTTCTGCTTAAAGTGAAAAACAAAATTAAGAAAAAATTTTATTTATTCATTCATTTATTTAGTGTGTATGTGGGGTGTGTGTACATGGTCCACGTGGAGGCCAGAGCACACCTTTTACGAGGTGGTTCTCTCCTTCCACCATGTGGGCCCTAGGAATTAAACTCAAGTTGTCAGGCTTGATGGCAAGCACCTTTACCCTCCAGGCATCCTGCTAGATCCAAGAAGTTTACTGAGTAGGAAATACAGTAGGAACCCACTACAAACCCCAAACATTTCTCTTACCCGAAACAGCCACTTTAACACAGGTACAGGACACTGGACGTAGTGATATGCAGAGGTAAGGAAGCCTTGTGTTGTCAAAAAAATCTGATCTGTTTTTCCTGATCTGAAAACAAAAGATCAACGATTGTTACCCATGGCAAAACAGTTCTAGCACAAACACATTTGACATAATCAGAGAAACGAGTAAGCAAACCTCAGTCAATGGAGATAGATTCCATACTAACATGGAACAGATTTACACATAAAGTTCAACTGATGGCCTAGCTGACTCAGTCGATGGGCTCACATTTCTCTGTGGACAAAGCTACATTTGTATGTAGTGCTTAGAGTCTACCCACTCTCAGGACATGGGCTTGTCAGTTTAGGGATGAACTTCCTAAATCAGCACCAGAGTCTGCATGGTTTTTCTAGACCTGAAATGCCACACCCTGAGAATAATCATCCTAGTGAAGGCACTGGGTTGACTGCAGGGCTGCCCACCTCAGTATCTGTGTTTTGTCTTTCTCAATGGTACCTGTTCTGAACTTTAGCTGAGCAAAATCACTTGCTGTGTGTGGCACTGCTGACTGCAGTTCACTCAATCAGCAGAAATCAAGCACAGACTGTATGTGCTTTCTGGGAATGTGAACAGAGAGCCAGCACTATTAAGTGCTAAGAGACCACGAGTGGAGAAAAAACATGGCAAAACCAATACACCAGAGCCAGGACTTCCTAGGCATGAAGTAAAACAAATCCGGTTAAGTCCCTGCTGTTCTGACAGCCACTGTTATTACTGTTGTCACCGTTGATCCTTTCTTTTGTGGTACTGGGAATATGTTTTGGAGACAAAGTCTTGCTCTGTAGCTCAGGGTGACTCCAAACGTGTAATCTTCCTGCAGCAACAACTCTAGGATTACAGTTGCAAACTGTCATGGCTGGATTTTACATACTCATTTCCTCCCTCTGAGATAGTATCTCCTGTAGCCCAGGCAGGCTGCAAACTTGCAAGTAGTTGAAGACCACTTGGACCTTCTGACTTTTCACCTTTACCGACCAAGTGCTGGGACTACAGGCTTCTGATTTATGTGGTGCTGAAGACCAACCCAGGGCCCTGTATATGTTACATAATCACTCTACCAAATGAGCTACATCCCCAGCCATTACACATTAATCTTAATCCTAGCTGATGAAAAAAAAAGAGATGTACCATGCTTGAAGCTTTCGGTTTTAATTCTAGCACTATAAACAAAAACAAAACTCCATGTTGATGCAGTTAATACCAGCACCTGCTGTGGGATGTTCTGTATGCTGTGAATGTGCTGCTCTGACTGGTCGATAAATAAAACGCTGATTGGCCAGTAGCCAGGCAGGACATATAGGCGGGACACGTAGAGAGGAGAATTCTGGGAAGAGGAAGGCTGAGTCAGGGGAGACGAGACGCCAGCCTGCTGTCCAGGGAGCAGCATGTAACAGCATACAGGGAAAGCCACGGAACATGTGGCAACATATAGATTAACTGAGTTTAAATGTAAGAGCTAGTCAGTGGTAGACCTGAGCTAATGGCCATGTAGTTATAATTAATATAAGCTTCTGAGTGATTTACTTTATAAGCAGCTGTGGGGTCTGTGAGGCTCGGCAGGACCAGAAAAAACTTTCAGCTACAAGCACGCAGGAGGCAGAGGCAGGCTCTTTTACTAGTCCCCAATTAAAAGCTTTTAAGAGCAACTTTTAAAGAAAGATTTTAGTTTATATGTATGGGTGTTTTGTCTCTTTGATGGTTATTCTTGGCTGTCAACATGACTACACCCAGAATTCATTAAAACACAAATGTGTGGGCACACATGTGATGGATTTTTTTTTCTTAATTAAATCATTTTATGTGTGAAGACACCCCCCCCCCCCCCCTTTTTGAGACAGAGTTTCTCTGTGTAGCCCTGGCTGTCCTAGAACTAGCTCTGTACCAGGCTGGCCTCAAACTCACAGAGATCCACCAGTCTCTGCCTCCTGAGTGCTGAGATCAAAGGTGTGCACCATCACTGACTAGCTTAGGAAGACCCATTTCTCACCTGGATCTCTGAAGTGGGAAGACACACCTTTAATCTGGGCCACACCTTCTGCTGGCAGTCTAGATAAAGGACATGGAAGGAGGAGGACGGCTTTCTCTGCCTGCTTGCTCTGGCTCTTTATCTCCCTAGCGAGTTCATTCATGCAATGGCATTAGAGGCTACTTCTTCAGGATTCCAGCACACACTGAAGACCAGCAGATATATCCAACCTCGTGGAATGAACAACTGGAATTTTGGACCTTCCCTTGGTGGACAGCCATTGCTGAACTGGCTGGATCACAGCCTATAAACCATTCTGAAAAGTCCCCTTTCTATATATACAGAAAATTTTATACATTCTATAAACCTCTAGAGCAGTGCTTCTCAACCTTCCTAATGCTGTGACCCTTTAATATAGTTCCCCATGTTGTGGTGATCCCAACCATAAAGTTACTTTCGTTGCTACTTCAAACTCAGGAATCCACCTGCCTCCTGAGTGCTGGGATTAAAGACATGTACTGACTCCACCCCACAGTAAATGTAATTAACCAATGAGCCATCTCTCCAGCCCTTAGAACAACTTTTTTATACAGAAAAAAACCCACGTTTATGATTTACTTACTTGAGAATAAGCTTTTCCACAGCACTTTCTCCGATAAAACCAGAGTCTCTTAAATCTAAGGTATATTGATTGAAAATTTTTCCAGAATTGAGGAAATTAAATATTTCTTCACCTGGATGATGATCAGGAATAGCATCAATTGTAACTGAAAATTTCTTTAGAAATTCCCTGAAACACAAAGACCATTAAATAACAAAGAATTAGGATACAAACGGTTTTGTACTTAAAAGACAAGGGCAGTCATCCAGGAGGCGGTGGCGCAGGCCTATGACCCCAGTATTCAGGAAGCAGAGGCACAGACAGGTGAATCTTTGTGAGTTCAAGGCCAGACTGGCCTACAAATCGAATTCCAGGACAGTCAAGGCAACACAGAGAAACCCTGTCTCGAAAACAATGTTTTGCCTTCCTTAAAGCTTGTAGTGAAAACCACTGAGACTCAGTGTGAACACTTATCATGTACCTTGTTTTTTTTTTTCTTTTTTCTTTTCAAGACAGGGTTTCTCTGTGTATGTCTGGCTGTCCTGGAATTCCATTTGTAGACTAGGCTGGCCTCTAACTTAGAACTCAGAGATCTGCCTGCATCTGCCTCCTCAGTGCTGGGATCGAAGGCTTATGCCACCACTGCCCTGCATACCTTGGTTTTAATGTTTGCCTTTGAACAAAGCCCAAGTGTTGAAACCAGTCCTTCGGCAGCCAGTCCTCAGTGGCCCAGCTATTTTATAAAAATCAAATGAAAAAATGGCAAATAGTACTAGAAGCTTATAGATGGTGTGAAAAGACACTACCTGTGTTCTTCCAAGAGGCCATCCTCATCATCTGTACTGTCCTGGTCACCAATTCTGATAGGAGATTTAATGCCTCGGCCTTGTCTTATGTCTTCCTGTAACTGCTTCTGTAGTTCATCTAGCCTGAAAATTGAAAGAATGTCCTAATAAATGATTTATATTTATTTATTTTTGAGACTGGTTCTCTCCATGTAGTCTTAGAACTCTCTATGTAGATCAGCCTGGTCTCAAATTCAACAGAGATCCAACTGCCTCTGCCTCCCGAGTGTTGGGAGTAAAAGCATGCACACCAGGCTAGGCTTATGATTTATTTAAAAACAGACAACTAGAGCCAGGAGCCTTTTCTACAGAGCGAGTTCCAGGACAGCCAAGGGTACACAGAGAAACCCTGTCTTGAAAAACCAACCAACCAACCAACAAACAAATAATCCCCCCACAAACAAACAAAAGAAACCCAGACAACTTCAGCTGTTATCTAAAAGCAGCCCCAAGCAAAACTCTTACTATATACTCTATTTTAAAGAAATTCTGTTAGAATACAGGGTAAATCATATCTCCACAATACATTACACTACTTAAAAAAAAAATCTATTTTATGGGTATGTGTTTTGCCTACATGCATGTCTGTGAACCATGTGCATGCAGTGTCGGGAGGCCAGAAGAGGGGTTGGATCTCCTGGCAATGAAGTCACATGTGGGTGCTGGGAATCAAACCTGGGTCCTCTGGAAGAGCAACCAGTACTAGTACTCCTAGTCACTGAGCCGTCTTTCTAGTACTAGTACTCCTAGTCACTGAGCCGTCTTTCTAGCCCCTTGAATATTTCTTTATAGCTAGAAATTTAAGAATGATCTGTCCAAACCAGAGAACAGAAAAACGGTAAATAATGATCAAATTCGACTATCTTCTCTAATGTTTAATACTCATTGATACCTTGTAGACCAACATCCTGATAATACTAGGTTTTTGTTTTCATCATGGTCATCCGATTACCATCATCATCACCACACCTAACACTGAGCACTTACTATGGCACACCCAACCACGAACTCTTGGTGGGACTAGAGGAAAATAAGCCATCAATAATCTCACTGTTCTATTACTACTGATGGGTCAATCATTACACCAGGTCTGAGAAAGATATTATTCCTATTACCATTTGCTTGTGTGTGTGTGTATGTGTGTGTGTGTGTGTGTGTGTGTGTGTGTGTGTGTGCGCGCGCGCGCGCACGAGTGCTGAAATAGGTCTTGTGATGTATCCTAGGCTGGCCTCACACTTGAGATCTTTTTTTTTTTTTTTAGGTTTATTTATTTATTATGTATACAGTGTTCTGACTGCATGTGTCCTTGCAGGCCAGAAGAGGGCACCAGATCTAATTGCAAGTGGTCCTGAGCCACCATGTGGTTGCTGGGAATTGAACTCGGGACCTCTGGAAGAGCAGTCAGTGCTCTTAACCACTGAGCCATCTCTCCAGCCCACACTTGAGATCTTATGTGTTGAGATTACTGGTGCGTATCACCACATGTAGCAATGCTTAATTTAAAACAATTTCTCTAACTAAATTCAGAGGGAAAAACTTTTAACGTAAATGTCTGAAAATTTCCTATAGTTAGTTATATGTTTAACAAGTTTGAGATTTGTATATACTAACTTTTTTTTTTATAAACATCTTTTTTTTTAGTTTTATTTATTTATTATGTATACAGCATATATGACTGCAGGCCAGAAGAGGGCACCAGATCTCATTACAGATGGTTGTGAGCCACCATGTGGTTGCTGGGAATTGAACTCAGGACCTCTGGAAGAGCAGTCAGTGCTCTTAACCTCTAAGCTATCTCTCCAGCCCTGTATATACTAACTTTTACACAATCCAGTCAGCTATACTTACTTTTAAAGTAACTTAAAATTGATTTTGAAACTGGGAGTGGTGGCACTTGCCCTTAATCCCAGCACTTGGATCTCTGTGAGTTTGAAGCCACTGAGCATCTTACCTACTCCAGTCAGCTAAACTTTAAATGAAGTTTTCTGGGCTAGTTTCATGGGTAGTCTTTGAATAAATAAGGCATGCTGTTCTCATTAGTAATAAGTCTGTAACCAGTCACATAATTTTTTAATTTAAAGTTTAATTTATACGTGTGTGCCACATATATGTATGTGTGTTTCCACAGAGGCCAGAAGAGGGTGATGAAGCTCCCGGAGGTGGTTGTGAACTACCAGACATAGGTTTTGGGAAACAAAATCAAACCCTTTGGAAGAGCAGCAAGTGTTCTTAGCCAGTGAGCCATGTCTCTAGGCCCCACTGTTTAATATTTTTATTTATTTATTTTTAATTTTTAAAATTATATTTAAGCCAGGTACATGTCTTTAATCCCAGAATTCAGGAGGCTGAGGCAGGCAGATCTTCGTGAGTTTGAGGCCAGTCTAATGTACATAGTGAATTCCAGGATAGCCAGAGCTACATAGTGAGACCCTATCTAAAAAAAGCAAAACCAAACAAACAAAATTACATTGATTTGTATGTGTGGATGTGTGTGTGTGTGCATGCATACTAGGTGTGTGTGTAGGTCGGAGGATAACTCAAGAGTCAGTTCTCTCCTTTCCCCATCTGAGTCTTAGCGATTGAACTCTGGATGTCAAGCTCAGCAGCAAGTGCTTTTACCCACTGAACCATCTCACCCCCCATTTATTTATCAAGATAGACACTGAACTTAAGGCACTCTTCCTGCCTCAGTATCCCAAGTTCCTGAATTACAACAACTGCCACTATTTTCAGTGAGTCACATACATTTCACTAGGGAAATTATGACCCTAAATTTTTAGACATGTATAAAATGGGCTGCTTATCATCATTTTGAACTATTCTTCCACAGAGTAACATGATACAGGAATACATGTATGTTCATCTTGGTTTCAAAACTTGTACTTGATGTTGGGCATGGTGGTACACACCTGTAATCCCAGAATTTGGGGACACTAGGAGCAGAAGAATCTGAACTTTGGGGCCAGCCGTGGCAACATAGTGAGATCATGCCTAACTAAGCAAATAACCCTTCCCCCAGCCCAAGAAAACAGTAACAAAACTGCTTGAAATTGGTAAACATGAAAAATTTCTTGGTTTTTTAAAATATTTCTTCCATGTGGTGGTTGCACACACCATTAATCCCAGCACTCAGGAGGCAGAGGCAGGGCATCTCTGTGAGCTTGAGACCAGCTTGGTCTACAAAGTGAGTTTCAGGACAGCCAGAGCTACAGAGAAACTCTTGTCTCATGAAAACAAAACAAAACAAAAAACCCAAAATATAAGTAAAATGCTTATTTCCCTAAGCAGAATAAATTTATTTATAGCAAAGAATAAATAACAATGGTTCCTTACTCAGAGTAGTTTATATCCATATTACATGAAAACTGAGTTTTCTCAGGGTTAAATGTTGCTAATTTAAAGAAACTATGGAAAGCTTCATAAATCTGCATGTCATCCTCGCACAGGAACCATGCTAATCTTCTCTGTAGTGTTCCAATTTTAGTCTATGTGCTGCTGAAGCATGTACAAATATAAAAATATTCTAAGAAAAGGCCCTATCTTTGTGCCAATAATAAAAACTCATTGATTAAAAGCAGGCAAAAGGGGGCTGGAGAGATGGCTCAGAGGTTAAGAGCACTGACTGCCCTTCCAGAGGTCCTGAGTTCAATTCCCAGCAACCACATGGTGGCTCACAACCATCTGTAACGAGATCTGGTGCCCTCTTCTGGCCTGCAGGCACACATGCTGTATACATAATAAATAAATAAATCTTAAAAAAAAAGGAGGCTGTGTGTGGGCATATACCCAGAATACCTGAAAGGGGGACTGAAGATATATGTACACACATCTTCAAAGCGGTTTTTTCCAGAATAGTCAGTAAGTGGGCCCTGCCCAAGTGGCCATTAATGGATAAATGAACAAAATGCGGCATGTATGTAAGACAGAATAGTCAACCTTAAAAAAAAGGAAATTTGGCCGGGCGGTGGTGGCGCACGCCTTTAATCCCAGCACTCGGGAGGCAGAGCCAGGTGGATCTCTGTGAGTTCGAGGCCAGCCTGGGCTACCAAGCGAGTCCCAGGAAAGGCGCAAAACTACACAGAGAAACCCTGTCTCGAAAAACCAAAAAAAAAAAAAAAGGAAATTCTCCACAATCTTCACTACAAACAAGACATTATGCTACGTACAATCCCCCTGATCTAACAAATAAACTACTAAATGATCTCACTTGACATATCCAGAATAGTCAGCGTCATAGAAACAGGAAGAAAAATAAAAATGGTGGTCTGTCTAAGGCAGGGAGGGAGAGCAGAATGGTAAGTGGTGTGGAGTTTCGTTTGAGAAGATGAAGAATGTTCTGGAGCTGGGTGGTGGTGATGACAGCTACACGGATGTTAGTGTACTAACTAAACTGAACTGTTGAAAACAAAATCTGGGGCTGTGGCGATGGCCCTGAGAAAAGCCCTCCCTGCACAAGCCTCAGGACCCAAGTTTCAATTCTCAGAACCCACATAAAAGCGGGATGTGTATGCCAGGTGTGGTAGTGCACACTTAACTTAAACCCAGAACCCAGCAGGCAGAAGTCTGTAAATTTGAGGCCAGCCACGGCTACACAGTGAGACTCTTATCTCAAAAAAAGGGGCAATGGATGCATAGCATAAGTGCCTGTAATGCCAGTGCTCCTACAGGGAGACAGGAGGCAGAGCCAGGAGACTCCCTGAAGCTCATGGGTCAGCTAGCCTGGCATACACAGCACTGAGGAGACTGCTTCAACACGATGGAAGGTGGGGACTGACACCCAAGGCTGTCCTCAGAGCTTCACATGCATGCTACAGCAAACACGCACTAGCACTCTCATGCATGAACTGTGCACACACAATAAAAGTAAGTTCTACCCATGCTTTTCATCAAGGGTATCAGTTAAGATACTGTTATAACAAGCAAAAAGGAATTTATAATAATGCAATACAAAGTACACTGTAAAACCTGTATCTTTTGATATCTCACTAATAAGAGAGTACATCTTATTTCTACAACAGTTGACAAGAGAACTGTAATAATGGTACTCCTACAAAATGCATGTTAATTTCTAGTTCCCTTGGGATTTATGGTGCTGGAGACTGAAGTCAGGGCTTTGCAGTTGCTTGGCAATCCTTTTACCACTGGGCTAAATCCCCAGCCCCATATATACTGATTTATCATTCTAAGTTAAATTAAAAGCCAACCACGTAGGCAAAGCAGTTTGTTAAATTTAACAGATTATAATTTTAACCAACCTTTGTGTGTCTTCCATCTCCTTTACAAGACGCTCTAAAGTATTTGTATAAGTTCCACTCTGAGCATATTCCTAAAACAAAAAGAAAGTTTAAAAAATACTTTATAACTCATCTTAGTAGAAGAACTGGGATATTGAGTTATTCAGAGTACTAATGACTATTTTCTGTCAGTAACCTGGGTCTGGATGATACCCTTCTTAAAGGAAAACTTTCACCATCATGCTTTAAATCTGGTATTCTATACTGCAGGCAATTGGATTCCAACATCCATTAGGAGGGACACTGCCTGTAACACCCTGCTAACCTCAGGATCTGAATGCAACACCCAAGGGCTCTGTGGCAACCCTATCTTATCTTCTGCATTCTACTTCAGTGAAATCAAACTACCACTAAGTTTTAGGTGTTACCATGGACTACTATACCTTCCCCACCAAACTTTACAGAAACCTTAAAATTAATACAGTTTACTCCCAAGATAGAATGAAGCACTTTATAAATAAAATTGCACACCACAATTAACAACATTTCTACACTCTACCTTCATTTACAGCAGTGGTCTCCAAAGCAGGGGGTGTGCAAGGTGATCCATTGGGGTGCAGGAAGAAAATAATAGAACTTCTATTTATATGGAACTTCTATAGAAACTCCAGTAGAACTTAATCTACAGTAACTTCTATGTAACTGCCACAGGAAAATACTTAATTTTTCTTTTTTCTTCTAAATTCTGCTTTTGTATATACTTTATTTCAAAAGTACACAGTATTATAGTGGTACATATATAGAATCTATGAGGTACATATATATTGGGGAACATGCTTAAAGTTTCCTTTCAATAAAAAAGTACATGTGATCAAAAAATTTTGGAGACCACTGATTTACAATAATAAAATTGAAGATATGGGGAACTCATTTACCAAAAGAGAAATTCACACCCATGTCAGTCTAATGATGAGATGTAGTAGTAAACACTGAATTTTAAGTTAACAATCTATCTTCTTTAATTAATCCATCTTTTCCCCATCAAGTGAAGACAAATTACCACAGAACTACTTACTATGTAGTCTGATGACTGGGATCTAAGCCCCTTGGAAAAGGCAGGAGGCTTTCCTGAAGCTGTAGAAGTCTGGTTGAAGTTCAAAGCCATTATTTCTTCCAGTGATTTTAATGTTTCCTCTTCCTCATCACTCTCTAAGTTGTAACCTAAACTTTCTTCATCACTATCAAAATCACCCCTGAATTTCCTTTTCAGTGCACTGCTACCTGCATTGGAATTTCCTGAACTCTCTTTATCTGAAGGTGCTGCAGGGCTTGGGACACGCGGCACAACTTCCAAGGCAGCTGGGGGAGACTCTGTAGGAGGGCTGTATTCTGAATGCAAAGATCCCCCAGAACTTTTCCCTGAAGATTCATTAGAAACAGCCTTAATAGTCTTTGCTTTGTGTTCCTTGTGTTTGGAGGATTCTGCAGAATGCCCAGAACGTTCTTTAGAAGAGGAACGCTCTTTATCTTTTTTAGGAACTGGAAGAGTGCAATTTTTAGCATTTAATGGTACTCGAGAGGAAACAGCACTTGGAACATGGGAAAGTAAAGGTAGTTTTGTCTCCTTTGATGTCACAGAGCCAGCCGTTTTACTTTTCTGAAGGTTGCTAGCTCTTTTAATTGCAGATTTTTCCTGAGGTAAAGGGAAGTGGGGCTTCTGTGTTTTAGTCTCTTTGGTACTTGCTGCGTGGACTTGGTCACTATTCCTGGAAGAATGGTGGCCAGAATTTGAAGGTGCCAAGTCTGCAGAAGAACGATCTGTTTCACCATCAGGTTCCTTGGCTATATCTTCCAAGCGCAGAACGCCACCTGGTGTCTTCAGTGCAATGTGTCTTATAAACTTTTCTCTCTGATGTGATGTGTCTGGACGCTTCTCTAGGAAGGACTCTTTTGCTTTTGGTATGATAGATTCTTTTGTGCTTTTCAGATCTGAGTCCACAGAGTTCCTTTTTCTTTTCTCCGAGAGTTTATTCTGCTTAGAGCCTAAAATTAATTTTTGTCACATCAGTGAAAAGTATACTGTTCTGTCTGGCTCAAGCTTATTCACAGAACACTGATGAAATGTTTAAACTCTCCGTTTAGGCTGACATTATTCACTATATATATATATATATATATATATATATATATATATATATATATATATGTAATGAAGAAAGAGAACTGGCAGCCAAGATTTAGAGCTAACAACATATGCTCATGTTTACTGCTAGTCTATTAAGTTACTATTTTACCAAAGGTACCACTCCCTAAAACAGAAGACCCTGTATATTGGCACTAATGAGGGATTCTAGACTACTTCTGCTTAAAGTGGATATTCTTTTCAAGTCCCACCCACCTGGTTCTAGAATGAAATACTTCTACATCTAAAGGTGTGGTGGTTTTAGATTATAAGCAACTACAGGACTAAAAGGCAGATAAATAACTTATTTAAAAATAAACTTGACTGGGTGTTGTAGTACACATCTTTAATCCCAGCACTTGGGAGGCAGAGGCAAGAGAGATCTCTGTGAGTTTGAAGTCAGCTTGGTCTACATAGAGTTCCAGGACAGTCAAAGCTACACAGAGACCCCTGTCTCAAAAAAAAAAAAAAAAAAAGCAAGAAATAAATTCTACCTTGCATTGTGGTGCATCCCTATAATCCCAGCAGTCAGGAGTCTGAGGCAAGAGGATCATGAATATAAAAGGCCAGTCTGGGCTAGAATGGGGTGGGGGAATTGGAAAACCCTGTCTCAATAAAACAAAACAAAAACAAAACACCAAAACAAACACTAAACCAATAAATAGATGTATCCAAGTATTTCCACCTAGTGATTACCACCAATTCATATGTCCTCCTAGTTTTCAGCTATTACAGGTTGAAACACCGTGCTGTGTCTCCCCAGATATGGTCAACTACTGACTGTCATCACCACAGAATGAGAACTTAACTGGGAATAGGGTCTTCACAGACAAACCCAAACTAAAACAAGGTATGCCAGAGGAAGACACAAGATACCATGCAACTGAGTGACGCCGTTAAAATCCAGGACTGCTGAAGATCGCAAGCAAACACCAGAAGCTGTAAGATGTAAAGAAGTAGTTTCCCCTAAAGTAGCAATCAGAGGGCCTTACCAATGTACTCATTTCGGACTTCAACTTTCTAGAACTATGAGGTAATAATTTCTGTTGTTTTAAGCTACCCTAGATTGGGTACTTTGTTATAAATGCCTGTGTTCACTAACAACTAGAAACACCTTAATAACTATATATTTGCCCAGTGTTGGTGGTGCACACCTTTAATCCCAGCACTCAGGAGGCAGAGGCAGGCGGACCTCTCTAAGTTTGAGGCCAGCCTGGTCTACATAGCACGTTCCAGGACATCCAGGACTATACAGAGAAACCCTGTCTAGAAAACAAAATAACAACAAAAACAATGCAGGAAGAGAAATCAAATGACTAAAGACAAGGTTGAGTTAAGCAGATTATCTTAAGTATGATGTTACAAAGATAATAACTACAGAGCCGGATTTTGTTCCCGTACACTAGGAAGCCAGATCATTAATATACAGATAGAAATGACAAAGTCTTGATTTGATCAGAAGCATCTAGAAACAAACGAAAATTGTTTATAAAAATAGTTTAGGACAAGTCAGATTACTAAGAATTTTTACTATTTCTGCCTATGAGCAGAATACTCTGGAAGCAATGCAGAAAGATCTTGAATTTGAGGCCAGCCTAGACTATACAGTATCTAGAATTGAGAAGGGACTGAACTGGTTGACAGTCTAGGTAGGATCCACCTTTGTGTGTGTATGTCCATGTGGAACCAGAGGTGGACCAGTACCATTTGTCTACCTTGTTTCTAAGGCAGTCTTCCTGAAGCTGGAGATCATCATTTTGACTAGACTGGCTAACCAGTGGGCTCCTGGACATCTTTCTCTGTGCCCTGAGCAATGGATCACAGGCCTGTCTCATTGACCTCAGCTTTTACATGGTGCTGGGGATCCAGACTCAAGTTTCTATGTTTGCAAGGCTACATAGCAGACCCAGGTAGCTGTCTTCACCAAATCTGAAGCACTCTTTTCTAAACTTTCTAGGAAGTAGAGAAATTGAAAATTTTTCAGTTCTTTTTGTACTTCTTAGTCTATAGGCTGGATGTTTGTTTCATAGTACTTTGATTATTTATTAAATAAAATATTTAGATAAGAAATGGGTTGAGCTTGTAAAATGTCAAAAAAAAAGAAAAAAGAAAAAGATGTTCAATGTTGATTAATTAAGGAGACTAGTCATTAAACTATAAAATGTACCAGGACTGATTAAATTTGACTTCAGGATACAGCCAAAAGGCAGCTTTGGAAGGCCAAATCCATGTCTACTCTACCAACATTTAAAAAATTCTTAAACATGTAGCAACCAATAATAGTATAGTATAATATAAATATATATATATATATATATAAATATATATCTCATTATCACACTTGAGTGTGATAGCAGACTTACCATTTGCACTGTATGTGTGTATGTCTGCATATGTAAACTATGCACGCACTCAAGCACAAGTCTTTCTGTGGATGTGTATGCATGTATATGCCCAAGTATGTGGAGGCTCTCACAGGTCAACACTGGGTGTCCTCAATCAATCTTAACTTTCTTTATTGAGACAAGATCTCTCACTGGACCTGGAGCTCCTCAATTCAGCAAAACTAGCTGGCTAGCAAGCCCCAGGGATCCTCCCAACACTGGGATTATAGGTGAACACTGCATGTCAGGCTTTTATACACAGACACTAGGGATCTGAACTGTGGTCCTTGGGCAACAAGCACTTTATCAAGTAAGCGTCTCTCTAGCCCCTTGTTTTGGTTTGCTGAGACAGAGCCTTGCTATGCAGCCTAAAACTTGAAGTAAACTGCTTCAACATTCTAGGTGCTGTGATTATAGGCATGAATTACCATGTACAGCTCCATTTTTAATATCACATACAATGACACAAGGAACACAGTAAGTTTTCAATAAATGTAAGCTATTTCTGTTAACTATATCTTCCTGAATGTAGGAAGAATCCATACAGTTCATTTTTCAAAGTTTGAAGTTATAGCAGAAAAAGCTGACACACAAGATGAGTAAAATTATTTCTACAGGCCTTTCATTTTCTCAGTAATAAGTTTTTGCAGTGTTAAAGTTTTTAATACTGTAATTCTGGATCCCTACTTTAAATCTTTGTATACATGGTATCATCTCAAGTTGCTTCAAATCTTTCTGCAGGAAGAGATTTAACATATGAATGCTTCCCAGACCCCTGACCAATACTAAGCAGGTTCTATCGGGCTCACTTTCAGTGTTTAAACTTTCATGTTCTAATTTTTCTACTGTTAAGAAAAGATACTTAAAAGAATTCCTGAGTTAGGTGGTTGTGGTGGCGCATGCCTTTCATCCCAGAACTGGAGAGGCAGAGGCAGGTGCATCTCTGTGAGTTCGAGGTCAGCCTGGTCTACATAGGGTTCCAGGACAGCCAAGGTTATAGAGAGAGAGACCATGTCTCAAAAAAACCAAAAACTAAAACAAAACAAAAACAAATAAACAAACAAAAGAATTCCTGAGTTAACAGTAGCTCTTTGTGATGTATCTTCTCAATGAACAGAAATTAAAGTATTAATTAATATCTTGTAGATGTCCTTGAGATGTTACATTAGAAAGACATCTTTGTATTTGGAATATTTGGATCTTGTTTTAACTTCATACAAAGCATTTTTTAATAGGACACCAAGAACACAAGTGTATGTTGCTGCTCATTTGTTCTGGGACAGCATCCCACTGTAGCCCAAGCCAGTCCCAAACTTGTATCCTCTTCTCTCAGCCTACTGAGTGCCGGAATCACAGGCATGTGCCATCATGCCTAACATCAAAATGATGTTTCTTGAAGCAGCCAAGGATTCAGAAGTGAAAACACTCAATACCAATATAAGGAACACTGTTAAAACACACTATTAGAAACTCCTTTGAAGAAGGCAGAGAGAAATCAAGACAACAGATTATGCAGAATAAATTCAAGCACTTTTTTTTGAGGTCAGGTCTTACTCAATGTAGTTCAGGCTGACTTCAAACTCTAGATCCTCCTGTCTCAATCTCTTGAGTACTTGAGATTAAAGATGTGTGCCATTGTACCTAGCTCTAAATATTAGTCTTTAGAAATGTAATTTTATCAAACTCTTATTATCTGAGACATTTAATTCTAGGAAGGGAACTAAATATTTGAATAAATTTATTTTAAAAAGTGATATGAAGATGCAAACTTACTTAGAAACTGTATGTTTAGGTCTCATGCTACCTACCTGAAAGTTCCCATGAGTCTGAAGATGATCTTTTTCTTGAGAGATGTCCATTTTCCTATGAGGAAGTAAAGAATATGAACTTACATTTGAATAGACTTCTAGACCAATAAAGCAAATACCTATATTCAGAGGTAGTTTTTAAACAAACAAACAAAAAAAAACTTTAAATATCTTAAAATGAAGAATATGGGCTGGAGATGTAGCTCAGTGGTACAGTGCTCGTCTAGACACACAAGGCCCGAATGCAATACCTAGCACTAGGGAAACACATACACAAGCCATCTGTATCATAAAATATGTAAAATAAAAATAAAAATCACAAAATAAAGTCCATGTTTTATAAGCTAACAGTAATTTATATTCATAACTCAAAAACTAATATAATAGTTGAAAACTATTTTTCTATGGACCAAATATTATGTCTATTGATCATTAGCAATATTAGTAGTAAAGGCACAATCTTATTGCAAAGAGGATTCTGAATTTACAAATATCTTCTAGGAATACACAATGCCAAGATTTCTTTTTATTCACTCCTAGAACATTATAGTTATTTTTGGTTTATCTGATTTGAATTTTTCACAGTAGCTTATCAACACTGCATTTCTTTGCAGTGTTGGGGTCTTTTTTTTTTTAATTTTTTTTAATTTTTTTTTTCAAGACAGGGTTTCTCTGTGTAGCTTGGCGCCTTTCCTGGTACTCGCTTTGGAGACCAGGCTGGCCTCGAACTCACAGAGATCCACCTGCCTCTGCCTCCTGAGTGCTGGGATTAAAGGTGTGCGCCACCACCGCCCGGCCGCAGTGTTGGGGTCTTAACCCAGGGCTTCTCACACAATGGGCAGGCATTCCACCACAGAGCTACATTCCCAGTTCTACACTGTTTTTGTTTCTGAGACAGGATTAGGTTATATAGACCAGCATAGCTGACTTTCTAGGGAAGAGGAAAAGCTTTGATGTTAACCTGAGTCTATACTCTCAAAAGAAAATGATAGGACTACGTCATCAGGTATGTTTCTAAGACCCATACCCAATCAATTATCTAAGGTTTATATATGGGCTGGAGAAACAGCTCAGCAGTTAAGAGTTCTTGTGCTCTTGGAGGACTTGAGTTCTTAGCACCCACATCAGGCAGCTCACAACCATCTGTAACTCCAACTCCAGGAGATCTGATGGCTTCTTTTGGCCTCTAAAGACACCTCTACATACAAGTTCAAATAAAATAAATAAGTCAAAGATTTATATATATCTGAAACAGTGATTCTTGAACTTTTGGAGTGCATCAGTTATCTAGAGGACTTATAACCAAAGATTGCTGGGCTCCAACTCCACTGTTTCTCACGAGGCAGAGACAGCATTTCAGACAAATTCCCAAGTGCTGCAGATGCTCCTGCTGCTCTGAGGACATTTAAGAACCACTGCTCTAAGTTGTTTCCTGTTCTTTTATATTTGCCATTCTTTAAGTACCTCTTTTTGGAAAACTTAACCTTAAAAAAATGACTCTACTTGCCTGAAAGAATGTTTATTTTCCATTAGAAAAGATCTTTGATCCTGGTCTGAAAAAATTAAGGTACAGAAATTTACTGAATTTAATGAAGGGTAGTTGGAGGAAACCTAATGAAACCAGTGTCAGCCCAAATCGTGCACCCGTATTTCCTGAAATGTTATGGATTAATAATATCTTTAGACTGAGGCTCTACCCACGGTACAGCAGTGGTAAAATGAACCCAGTAATTCTTATACATACCAGATTTGAAAGATTGCTCTTTCCAGGGATAACATCATTCTGTTTACTGTGTTCATGCCTTGGTTTACATTTTTTCCCTACACTAGAGGATTTTAAGGAACGATTGCTTGTTTCTGAGAAAGAATTTTCCGAGTTGATTCTCTGCTCCATTTGTTCCTTTCTCAACTTCTTCTGTTCTCGTTCTCGGCAGTAAGAAGCTAATGACAACTTGAACCTAGCTCCCAGTGGGCTTTCTCCTGGGTGGTGCCGGGATAGGCTGCTTCTGCTACTAACACTTCTGGAGCTGTTCTTGAAGATGTCACCTTCTGTCGCTGGGGCCTGCTTTCTGGAGTCTTCACTAGTCTTGCCTCGATCTCTGTCATTCTTCTCTCTGTTACTTTCATGAATGAACAGTGACTTCCTTCTCTCTGGAGACCGGTGTTTTTTCTTCCGTGTCTTCATCTCTTTGGGCAATCGATAAGAAGAAGGAGCATAGATACCTGATCCTTTGAGTAAATATTTAGAGCCTACTGACATACAAGGCCGCCGTGACTCATGTACACCATGATCTTTGTGGTGCTCTTTACCACCTTTCATGAAAGCTTCTAAAATAGGACTTTCTTCTGATGACATTCTTTTGGGTTTAGGTTTTTTTGGTGAAGATAATTTCCTTTCAAATTGCTCTGTCCCACTGATGGATACTCCATTTCCTCCATATTTGATGTTTGATTTTTGTGGAGAATCCAACATATGTTTGTCTAAAACAGTCACAATTAAAACACATACAAATTGTATGTTATTAAAAATAAATTAATGTTTCTATTCCTATTTAACTATCAATTTATAACTATATTGAAGCTATTAAATAATTCAAGTCAATTAATATTTGGGTAATAAAATACATTTTGGAAGAGAGAGAAATTAAGAAATGGGTTTGTTTACCTTTTATGAAGTTTACATTCATGACTCACTCCCTCCTACTACATCATCTAACCTCCCTATGGCTATATTTGTGAGCTACTGTGCTAGAGAGTAAAATAAACATTCAGAGGCAGAGGCAGGCAGATTTCTGAGTTTGAGGCCAGCCAGGTCTACAGAGTGAGTTCCAGGACAGCCAGGGCTACACAGAGAAACTCTGTCTTAGAAAAAAAGAAAGAAAAAAATCAGCACTATCAACTGCATATTATTTTAATTGTTAAGAATGTAGAGCAGATGGCTTAATGTTTACCACATCTTCATTCTAACTGTACAATTTTCAATTGTGAATAGTATAATCAAATTCTGGAGGCCCTCTTCACCTCTAAAACAACTGATCAAAAATACATTAACAATACGCATACCTGGTTTTGAAGCTGGCTTGAAGAAATCTATGATTGACTGTTTCCTGAAAATAAAAGCACAACTAATATGGCATCACAAAAGCAAGTATTAAAATCTCATATTTTAGATTAGGTGGTGAATGTTAGATTTATATAATACAGGCTGGATTCCACTATCTGATTTAACTAAGTTCTGACAATGGCAATCATACTTTGCTAAGCCACAAGAAAGTTGAAAATATAACCAATTTTCTTTAAGTTTATAAATACAACTGAGACAATGAAATCTAGAGTACTAAATGGCAAAACTAAAGTGTGAATCTAGGGAACTGATGAGTGCTGTTTAGTTGGGAATGCTCACATCTACATGCTAGGGTAGAAGACTTTGGGGAGAAGTCTCTGATTCTGTTTGTTGTTATCTCCAGTGACTGGCAGTGATTCAAATAGAAACCTGATGAGTAATGGTGATCGGAACCCTTAACAGACTCTTGCAACAGGAGGAGAGTGACAGACGGGAGGATGAACAATCAGGTTGATCTGGGGAGGTAGTTGAAAGGAAGGTGCACAAAAGCAGAAGGGATCATGTATGAGTCTCACAGTATCTCTTTATGTTTCTAAGATGCTAAACTAAGTAACAGCAAAAACTAGAATGAGCCACAACTTAGGTTTCAAGTGTTTTTTTTTTTTAATCTAAGATTCCTTAAGATTAGCCAGGAGCAATGGCATACATCTTTAATCCCAGCACTCAGGAGACACAGGTAGGTGGATCTGTGTTGAGTTTGAGACTAGGCTGGTCTATGTAGTGAATTCTAGGCCAGTCAGGGCTACATAGTGAGACCTTGTCTCAGGGGGGACACCACACACCAAAAAAAAAAAAAAAAAAAGAAAACTACAAAAAAGAGTTCAGGGGGCTGAAGAGAGGCTCCATGTTTAAGAGCACTTGCTGCTCTTGCAGAGAAGTAGATTTGGCTGTTCACAATGTCTAACTCCAGTTCCAGGATATGTGATGCCCTCTTCTGGTCTCAGGGACCAGGCACACACATGGTGCAGACATACATGCAGCCACAACACTCATACACATAAAATAAAAATAAGTAAAATATTACAAAAAAAACCTCTTAAATCTTTAAAAAGCAGCATACTACCCAAGTAAAATGAAAAAAATGTTGATATAAAAGTTAAAAAAAAAAAACCAAATTGGTTTAATAAATTTTATGGGTTACTGTGCCCTAACATAGGCATGATTATTACCAGAACCTATACTCTGATTTGTTAATGCATGTTGAGTTGTCAGCTGTGAAAGGGGAGATGTTATATGTAGAGAAAAACTGAGTAAATAAAATAATTTACTGAAATGTATCCATTTTGCTGAAAGCGAGTAAGCAGTAAGCTACCAGTGTCTCTAAACATGTCTCTTCTGCGGATGGAGTACTCAATGAAAAGCCTGAGCAATCCAAACCCAAGGCTGATCTCCTTTTCTAGTTTGTACATTTTATTGGTCACATCAGAAGAGCAATGTACATCTTTCCTGGTTTACCTAGATTCTACAGGTACGCTGATAGAACCTAAATGGCTCCGAGTGACAGCAAGTGACAGGTTAAAGGAGAATACATGCATTTGTTTACAAGAAGTAACTTACATTAGGTAAATTAACTCTAAAGTCTGCAAAGGAGAGGCAAATGATGTCCTATTATTGGTAGTTAGCAAGGTGCAAAAGAACCCAGAAGCAGCTAATTCAAATCAAGATATACTAATATCTCTTTGTTAAATACAACACCGCATCTCTTCCCTAAAGTATTAACCCTAATATTCCTCTTCAATGCACCAGAAAGGCAACAACAACAACAACAAAAATGGCTTTGGGTAAACCATGTAACCATAAATGAAACTTTCTAGAGGTAAAAATAATTGCTTCCTAAGTTCAAATGCACAGAAATGCCCATTACTTATCTCTAACTGGTTTTTAAAAAATTATGACAGCCTCACAAACCTTTACCTGAAAGTTTAGGGACTCTGGATTTTGGGAAGGAAATAACTTGAATGTATTATGTACAGTCCCCAGCAGGGTCTGGTGTAACCTGTAAGTCAAACACACTAATATTTCTCCAGCAAAGCTTATGACACTCAGTAGAATAAAGACCATCCACAACCTCATATTAACTCTGGCCAGCTTGGCTCAGCTGCTAAATAAGCTGTGGTAGGAAACTTAATGAAAACGTTTGCTTTTCATAGCTTTCTGAATTAAGATAAAGGACTGCGAGTCTGTGTCACAATATTAAAGCATAAATCTACTTTTAAACGTGTTACCACTTTAAAAAATTAAAATAAAAAAGACAGTACCAAGTTCGTAGATAATTTAAACATGTTTTATTGTTAGAGGATGTCATTTGATGAAATTCTCCATCATTACATAGCTCCCAGAAAATCTTTACAAAAAAAAAAAGAAGAAGAAAAAAAATGAAAAAGGAAAAGGAGAGGCAGAAAGTTACTCACAGGGAAAATGGGCGCATTCCAAAAATGGTTTTAGTATGAATGATCGTGTACACTGTACTATAGAGTAATTAGCGGGTTTTCCTTATCACATCTTACATAATTTCACTCACAGTGTAGAAACCACCAGCATCAGAACGATCTAAATAGATGCATCGAGTAGGGAGGGTCCCAGGTCAAGCTCTCGAAAGAATAAAAATAACCTTCTACCTAAGGCGAGCTCTCCATGGCCACTAGACCCAAAGCAACACCCCAACTACAGAAAAGGAGACTCCAACTCCCAGAAGACCCCGCGCGGAGGCGGGGCAAGGGCTTGCAGGCCCCAGAACATCAAGGCCTGAGCTCGCTGAGGATGGCGGGAACTGAAGAGCAGCCGTCCGCAGTCCTCCCTTCTACCCGTGCCCCCGCGACCCGGCCCCTTCTCAAGCCCTCTGCACGGTACCTGTCCCCAGGACTCTCTGTTCTTTTTCCCGCTGCAGCAGGGGCGGTACTACCGGGTCTCAGATGGCAGCGCGGGGGCGACGACCCCGGGGCTGGGGATGAGGGGAAACCTGGCCTAGCGGGCATGCAGCGCCTTGTCATGTCGGCGCCGCTGACGACGGCGGCATGAGCTGTGGCTGGAGAAGCTGGGTGCGTGGTTGCCGTCTTGCTGCTGGGACTCGGGGAGGCTGTCGGTGCAGAGGTGGGCGGCACCCCCTACTCTCTTCATGGCGGTTCTCTCTTCGGAAGTGACTCCGGTGTGAGCGGGAAGGAACCTGAGGACCACCAGGGGGCGGGCCTTGCTTGAGGTGCCGCGTCTCGATTGGCTGACCTGGGGGTCACTCTGGTGGTGGCGCAATCGAAAGCCTCGGCCTGTGAGGAGAAGGCGGGGGTTTCTGGAAGGGGGAGGGGAGAATGAAAACTGCCCTCCCCGGACCCGTCACGTGCGCCTGGGGCGCGCGCCTCCGCGTCGGGGCCGCGTCCGCCTTGGCGGGTGCGTGGGAGTGGGAAAGCGGAGGCTGTGGCGGGTGCTGCGACAGCTGGCGACGCCCGCCCGATGGAGGGCTAGGCGTGAGCTTTGCAGAAGTAAACGGAGCCCGCAGCTGTCTGCAGCGAGGATGGCCAGCAGTTGTCACGATCGTGCTACAGAAGTGCACAGCTGCGCTAATATTACATAGTCATTTTAGCGTCTTAGGCCAGCGTGCCGGAATGCTGTCACCATTTCCTCCGCCATCTGCTCTGTCCATTGTGAGTTGACCGTTCTGCGAAGGGTCTTGTCGACAGTAACATGGTTCCCGCCCCACCCCACCCCCACACCCAGCCATTGACTTAGACATGTTTTATTCTGTAAAAGCGTTTTGTCTGTAATGAGTTTCCCATGGAGGTTTTTTGGACGGACCAGTCCTCATCGGCAAAGGGCTTGTGCTTTGAAGGCTGTTAGGCTGGGTTTTCTTTGCGAACCGAACCGAGAGTCTGGTCAGACAGTATTTCCGAGCCTCACTTTCCCTGTATATAGGATGGGCGTATTACTTCTGGGTAAAATCACGCTGGGTAATTTTAAGCAATAAAACCCAGCAGTGTAAACAGGTTTAGAGTGTATCATGTAATTGGTACAAACACACGATTTCCTTTCCTTTGTCCTTCAGACAGACTCCTGCAGTAACAGGCCAGTTGCTGTCGGGAAGGCCTGAATCCTAGCTCTTGGGAGACTGAAGTAGAAGGGTCAAGAGATTGAGGCCATGGCTGTGGTGATAGTTCAGGGCATAAAGGAACTTGCTCTTGTGACCCAGGACCACATGGCAGGAGAGGACTGATTCCCTCCAGCGAGTTAACCTGTGACTCCTGTCAGCATACACACACGTGAAAGAAATGTAATAAAAGACACTTTTTTTTTTTAAGAGAGACGGAGATAGCAGGGTGGTGGTGGCGCACGCCTTTAATCCCAGTACCCAGGAGACAGAGGCAGGCAGATCTCTGTGAGGTCAAGGCCAGCCTGGTCTACAGAGCGAGTTCCAGGACAGCCAGGGCTACACAAAGAAGCCTTGTCTGGAAAGAAATAAAAGAGAGAGAGAGAGATTGAGGCTAGTCTTAACTATGTAGCAAAATCCTGTCTCAAAAGAGCTAAATAAAATCTTCCAGAGACTGAAAAAAATTCCTATTATAATGCTTGTTAATAAACAAAATATCAATCTCAAAGATGTCCAGGGTTTAATTAAGAGGAATGTTCCCTCAGTTGGCTAGAACAAATTCCTAAATGACACACACACACAAAATTTGAACAGGTCTTCTAAATTTATTGTACTGAGATTGAATTGCTTCTGTTTCTAAGCACACTGGACTGACCTGAAGTTCACCTCTTCTCTCTTCCCTGGTAGCCCTCAAGAGGGGGAATTAATGAGAATAAGGCGACCAGTAAGCGGGCAAAGTAGGAGGTAGGAGGTAAAGCGTAAACCCAGGTCTTCCCAGTGCGCAGCTAAAGACTAGGTACTAAAGGTGTAAGAGGAGAAATACCCAAATCAAGGGCATTAAATAACACCTTTTCTGCTTCTTATGACTGAGAATTTACTGTGCTGCTTATATGTAGTATTCCATACATTAAAAAATAGCACAATAGGTGCTGAAAATACGTTGAATAATGACATATGTTTGTTTATGACTTTTTCTGTGCATTATTTCCTGTCCCTTCCTTGATTTAGTACTTTCTGCTGGCTATTTCGACACTAGGAAGTCCCCGCTTCTAGAACAGCACATCCACTAAACTTTTAAGCCGATTTGTTTCATTGCACACTCAGTCCATAAAAAGAATAAAGCATAAAAACACATTCTGCATGATCAATTAGCCGCTTTTCTTGGATTATAGTATTTGAATCACCCAGCCTCCAAACTATCACTTTAAAGTCTACTCATGCTGCCAAACAATAGTTTTCACATTTTCTTAATCTGATCAGCAGATTATGAAGTTAAGTGAGGCAAGAAATCCCTTGATCAATAAATGGAGATGGAGTCATAATGAAAGCACAATTTAAAAAAATCTCTCCTTAACTGGGAAGTAGTTACCTAGACCCTCAATAAACATCAAGACTTTTCTTTGTTTAAGCTGCACAGGAAAAAGAAACAGATTTCGGTCGCAGAGTGAGGTGCATTCAACATACTAACAAATGTCTAGAGCCTGAGATGCTCCTGTCCTCCAAAGAGAACTGAGCCTCTGTCTTGTGTGTATACTCATTTTTTGCTTTAAATGTGTACACATACACTATGCACAAACCTATAGATTCCAACCTAAGGACTTCCCCCACCTCTTTGAGGTACTGAGGATGGAATTCAGGGTCTCATGCTTATGAGGCAAGCACACTGCCACTAAGCTAGTCCCAGTTTTGTGAGAGCTTTTTGATTTTTTTTCCTCTTTTACTTTCTAGTGGACTGAAAATAGATGGCCAGGGAACTCCAGACTGTAAAAGCTGTCAAGAAAGCTCTCATGTGTGTGCTCTCATGGGGTGACAAGCCAGGAGAGAAAAACTGAGGTGTGGATGGGGGAAATGATGATGAACAATGTCAGCGAGACTAGGTAAGAGAGTCAACACAAATCTCCAGGCAGTGTTGAAAAAAGATTTGGAGAAAGGAAGGCTGGACTGTAAATGGCTAGTTTGGTAAGATTTCTGAGCATGGAGATAAGGAAGCAAGGGCCCAGGACCTGGAGTGGCTTTTAAAAAATTGTTTGTTTGTTTACTTATTTATTTATTAGTTTGATTTTCCATTCGGGGTTTTTTTGTGTACCCAGCTGTCCTCAAACTTGATCTGTAGACCAGGCTGGTCTTGGACTCACATATTCACCTGCCTCTGCCTCCTGACTGCTGGGATTAAAGGCTAAATTATTTATTTTTAATGTGTGTGAGTATTCTGTCTACATGCATGTCTGTGCACCATTTGCATGCCTGCTGCTCACAGAGGTCAGAAGGCAGCACTTCGAATAACCCCAGAACTGGAGTTACAGACAGTTGTTAGCCACTATGTGGGTGCTGGGAATTAAACTCTGGGTCCTCTGGAAGAATAGCCAGTGCTCTGAACCACTGAGCCCTGTCTCTAGCCCAGCCCACCCATGGCTTCTGTATATAAAATATATATAAAACTCAGTCCACTCTAGCAGCAACTCAGGAAGTCCACAGGCTCTGATACTGATGAGAAGGGATGGGAGAGATAGCTAGGGAAAAACCATTACGGGAACAATGGAGCAAGTTTGCTAGGAAAGGCAAGCTCTGGGCGGGAGTCCTGGGAGGAGTGACTGTCTAAGGGATGCCAGAGATCCCAAGCAGTCACAAAGACTTGCTAAACATTGTGGGCAAATGATCACACAGAGAGCCTCAGCACTCTGGGATTAAGAGAATCAAGAGACTATCTGCACATAACAAAGACTCACTAAAAAGCTGGAGACATGGAAAGCAACTTCTGGCTTTACAAGAATGGCGTGTTTGGGGGTTGAGATTGCTCTACTTGGAAATTAACTCCAAGCCTCTCCGAGGTTGTCCGAGGGCTGGGGAGAGAGTGGGGGTAGGAGTGTGTAGAGGGTGGTCTGAGAGGTGGGATAAGGAACAGATTCAGAGAAACAGGAAACAATTAACTTGAAAGCCTGACAGAAAGACAGACCACATGAGGGTCTCAAGAAAGGAAGGTGAACTTGTACACGTGCATGTGCGTGCACACACATACACGTGTGCACACACCACCTTTGCAGACACACGCACACACCACCTTTGCAGACACACACACACACACATACACCACCTTTGTAAACAAATGTTGAACTCAACAGGGCTAAGTGAGCAAATGCTTGGGAAAAGCACCAGTTTAACTTCAAGGACTGCCTGTGAGATGCCAAGTTTAATATAATGTCATGCAATCCAAATGGCCTAGGAGTAAGTAGTAAAACTGCAAAAACCACAGCTCAGGACACCTACTTCATGTTATTTCCCCATGGAATGTTTCAAGACAGTTTCCCACACAGACACACTAGAAATATGTATGTGATTTTTGACATGGCTAACAATTTCCTATCCTACTGCTTAGTTTCTTCATTCTTTGTCATCTTTGCTGGGGATCAAATCCAGAACCTTGTCCGTGCTAGGCAAGTGTTCCGCATCCAGCTACATCCCTGACCCTTGCTGTTTTGAGACAAGCCCTCACTGTGTAGCTCAGGCTCATCATCTCCACAGTTCTCCTGCCTCCTCCTCCTCCTCCTCCTCCTAAGAACAGGGATTATAAGCATGTGCCATCACAGCTGTTCTGACGTTAAACATACATAGCACACACGTACACATTTTTCTATGGACTCTCCTTCTTTGTGACATATACCTGTGTCGATGTGTAGACGATAGGAGGGAGGAGGAGAGGCTGAGGTGCACGTTTCTACAGTGGTAGTAGACTTACCTATCTGAAAATGTAAGAAAAGTTTTGGGAATTGCTGGTTTTAGAGACTCCAGCCTGCAGCCAGGCATTTCTCACACATGGTTAGTGAGCCATTAGAAGGTTTTGCAACTGAGTCACAGCCACACTAAAACAATAAAGACTGCCCCAGGTTGGGGTCACAAAGAATACTGGTGCAGTCCACATGGTATATGAGCTCAGAACTGATTTGAATTACAAGTTGTCTTTCCTGAAGCCTTGAATGTTAACTTGCTGACAGGGAGAGATCACTATACATTTCACTGAATATAGTAGGAGACACTGATCGTCTTTTTAATTTTTTTTAATTAGTGTATCTTTTCCTTCCTGTACTGTAACAGCTTCTAGATAGAGATGAGGCTGATGTAACCTCTCTTGGGTCTTCAGTAATCTAGTGACTCCAAGAAGGCTATGTGTGAGAAGGGATAATGACACACAGAAAGAGATCTTATATCCCCTGTTTACACTGCCCTTCACGAAGAACTTGACTTCCCTGGAGCTGTAGAGAGTCTTTTGGGGTAATAATTTGATCTCAGACCTTTGCAATACTCTTAGCAGAATTCAACATACCGTGGTGTGTGTCTGTTTAGACTTATTTTTATTTTGGTATTTTGCACACACACACACACACACACACACACACACATATGCCACACGTATGCAGAGGCTAGAAGAGGGTGCCGGATTCCCTGGAATTGGAATTACAGGTAGTTGTGAGCCACCATGTGGGTGTGTGGGTGTTAGCAATTGAGCCCAGGTTTTTGGAAGAGCAGCCAGTGCTTTTTAACCACTGAACTATCCAGCCCCAACCATGATACATTTTATTTTATTTTTTTTTGGTGGTGCTAGGGATGGAACACAGGGACATATGCACATGCACACACACGCGCGCGCGCGCGCGCGCACACACACACACACACACACACACACACACACACACACACGTGCTTGCACATTCATGCTACCACTGAGTTACCTCCCTCCCCCCAGATCTTTCTTTAACGAATTCCTTTATCTTCAAGCTTTAGACTTCAAGAACACCATAGTGCTGAGTCTATGTCAGTCATCAGATGGCCTCCTGGGAAGGGGTACATTTTAGCCCCAAAGAGGCTTTTTGTTTGTTTTATTCTTTTGTTTAGATTTTGTGAGATACTGTCTTGCTTATGTAGCCTGGCTAACCTGGAACATATTATGTAGACCTGACTGGCCTTAAACTCATGATCACAGAGGGTTGGGATTATAGGCCTGTATTTCTATATTAAGCCCCAAATAATTTTTTTAAAGGCACAGAACAATATTTAAAATTCAAGGGTTTCTATACAAACTTCTAGATATTTTTGTTTTGTTTTGAGTAACACAATCAAGGTTCTCACACTTAACCCTACAGGGACTAGGTAGGTAATAAAAAATATTTAGTAGCCAGGAAGCTACCTTTAGTCTCAGTATTGGGGAGGCAGAGGCAGGCAGTGCTTTGTGAGTTTGAGGCCAGCCTGGTCTACATAGAGAGTTCTAGGACAGACAGAGCTATACAGAACTATACCCTGTCTCAATAAATAAATAAATGAATGAAATTAAAATAAAATCAGCTCCATTTTCCTACCTCTTATAGAGACATGAAGTCACAGAATATTTCTTAACACTAATGATGTCCACAACAAGCACTCCTTGGACATGTTGCGGGTCAGACCCTGTTCTAAGCAGTTTCTGGATTCTGACCCACTTAATCACCGCATTCCTGCAAATTAGAAAAGGTGGCCTGGTCCAGTGTCCATATCAGCGTGATGATAAATGGTACCTGGTACTCAGCCTCAGTGTGGAAGGAGGTAGGACTGGGAACATGGGAGGGCACATTCCTAACTAAATGGGGGCAGTGTCTTGAGACCAGAATTTCCACATGGGAATGTGGGTCTGTTGCCTCTGCCCTCGGCACCAAACCCCTGGGAACTGTGAGTGAGACATGACAGGCCTGCTGTCAAAGCAGGCAGTTAGCAATGGTTTCCCATACCCCCAACACTTGTTTATTTCTACAGCACTATGAGATCATATCCTCCCCGCCCCCAACATATACACCACTGTTTAGCCCAGTCCATCCAAATGTCTCCTGGAGCCATAAGAAGTAATGAGTGCACCGGTGCCTGGAGGAATACAGAGAGTAGGCAAGATTCTTACTGAATGATTTTTCTTTAAGACAAGCTCTGGCATATCCCAGTCTGGCCTTGAACTCTGTAGGTAGCCAAAGGTAACCTTGAACTTTTGATTCTCCTGCCTCCACTTAGGGAATGCCAAGGTTATAAGGGTGTATCCCCACACCAGGTTTGTACTCAGGATCAAATCCAGGGTTTCCTCTGTGCTAGGCAAGCACTCTACCAACTGACTACATCCTCATTCTTTAGTTCTTAAAGAAAGTACCACAAGTACCAACACCTATGGTCATCTACAAGGACCAATGACCAATATCTATGAAAAATGTAAAACGTACATGTCCTTACACATCTTACAGACAGACGTGGACATTCATAAAGGTGAATGTATGAAGGCCTCTCTTGCCATAATATCAGTGGCAAAACATTGAAAGGGAACTGACTGGGTAAACAAATGGTGATAGAACCACACAGTCCACTACCAGGCAGGGGGTGATACAGGCATGGGGTGATACAGGCAGAGGGTGCTGTGGTTAACATCCACCCGACTGCCTGGCCTGCCTTGCTCACCCTCAGCCTTATTGTAGTTACCAGTTGCAGATCTTATTGGTTTTGCACCTCAAGTACCTTTGTAAACCTCTCTCATTTTTTACAAATGTGAAATATAGCGATGCATACAAAGAATAATATAAGCACACATCCACTAGTTTGCATTCCCAACTCTTATCTAGTTACTTCTTTTCTGGTCTTTTTGTTTGTTTTTGAAACTACCACCTCCTAATTCCCATTATTGTGGTTTTGAAGTCAAATGAAAGGGTCTCTCTCATGCATATTTAGTCAATATATACTCTATATATTGTAGCATGAATCTTAAAAATTCTTATTAATAAAATCAAACCTGAAGCCAGGTTTTGGGGTGAATGCTGGAAGATCAGAGAAGCAGAACAAGCCACAGCCACCTCACCTCACCAGTTCCTCAGCTGATCCTGTTTCCTCGGACTGGAAGCCTCTGTGTCCTCATCCGAATGGCTCTCAGCTGAACTGCTGCTCAAAAGCCTAAAAGCTTAACCAGCTCTAGTTCCTGGTCCTCATGCCTTATATACCTTTCTGCTTTCTGCCATCACTTCCCGGGATTAAAGGCGTGAGTCACCATGCCTGTGTTTCCAGTGTGGCTTTAAACTCACAGAGATCCGGATGGATCTCTGCTTCCCAAGTGATAGGATTAAAGGAGTGTGTGCCACCATTTTCTGGCCTCTATATCTAATGGCTGTTCTGTTCTCTGACCCCAGATAAGTTTATTAGGGTGCACAATATTTTGGGGAAACACAATATCACCATCATATATTCTAAAAGTATGCACATGTATATTTTATTTATGTGTTAATAGTCTGCATTCTTATTTGCCCATGACAGACCATGCTGCCATGGACATCTTTGTCCACAAGTCTTTGTGTCTGTGTGCAAGAGCCTCTATGGGTTGTATAAGCAGAAGAGAAATTACTGGGCTATGGAATAGTTTCATTATCAAGTTTACTGTATGCTTCCAAATTGCCTTCCATAAATGGCTGAATTAATTTACTTTCCCCCATCAACATATGAGAGTATCACTTTTCTTAGTGTGGCCTCCAATATTTCATTGTTTTATTTTACATTTACCCTAATTATTTGGTTTAATATATATTTCTATATTTAAGGGGCAACTTGAATATCTTTTGTTAATTGCATATTTCTATATTTTACCCATATTCCTTTTTTTGTGAGGGGGTTTAACATGGGGTTTCTCTGTGTAGTCTTGGCTGTCCTGGAACTTGCTCTGTAGACCAGACTGGTCTCAAATGCATAAAGATCTGCCTGCCTCTGCCTCCCAAGTGCTGGAATTAAAGGCCTGTACTATTACTGCCAGGCTAGAAGAATCCATATTTTGAATACCCAGAAATCCTTTCTGTCTCTCAGCTGCACCCTGACAGAGGCCAGCAGTCCTCAGAGTTTCTTGCTTCCATGGTGGCCTCCTTGTCTTCCACTTTGCTTTGCTTTAATCCATTTCCACATCGAAGCCCCCACTATCTCTAATAAGCCACTCTGACCATGCCATTCCTAAATTCATCACATACAAGAAAACTAAATGAAGTATCATATAAGACATGACCACTCCCACCCCTTCACCCTCCACCAACTTTTAGGATTTGCCAAGCCAGATGTGACACCTCTGGTCCCTCGCTATTTTCTGTGAACACCATCATCCTTCCCGGTGCTCCCTAGACTGAGCCAGTTGTAGGAATGGATGGCCGGTGAACATCTTTGAGCATGTCAGCCTCACTCCTGCTTCTGGGCTTTTGGACAAGCATTTGTGGTGCAGCTTGTCCTGGTAAACGTTCCCCGATGTCCCTAAAGAGACCTGCTTGCTCCTTGCTCAAGCCTCACAAGCACTGGGTTCACTGTGATGTGTGGCCTTACACTGAAATAACTGTGTCTTTATCTTTTCTCTAGGTTAAAAGCTTCAGGTGGACAGAGCTCTGACTGCTGGTCTCAAGAGGCAGAACAGCAGGTTATCTAGGAGTGTGCATTCTGAAGCCAGCCTCCCTGGGTTTGAATTGCCTTTTTCACTCTTAGGGAAGTTACTTAACCCCTCCATGCTCCAGAGTTCTCATTTGGGAAATGGGCAGAGCAGTAGTGTTAGTCTCATTGGTTTGTATTAATTGAGTTAATACATATAAAGAGCTCGTAATAGTGTCTGGCAGCATCTAGTAAGTGCTCAATAAATCTTCATTCTGATAATCACTGTTATTAACTAGTTACTAATAGCTATCATTTATTTATATCATTATGGATGACACTTGGCAGGAAGATGTACCCAAGGCAGAAGCAGTGCTAGCCTAGGTAACACCTGGACATCCCCAGCTGAAGGTCCAGGAGTCACCCAGCAGTTACTTACTCCTGGCTGGGGTCCCTGACAGGGATGTTTTTGTTCTTGCCTATGTCCCTTGACCCTCCATCCCAGTCACTCTAACCAGAAACAGCTAGAGGTAGAAAAAAGCGCATTGTATCAAAGGAGCCTGGGAACATTGTTTCCATTTGTAAAACCCTGGGCTGCCACCACCCCAGTCTTCCCCGTCCCACTCACCAAGTCTGCCTTCACTCTTGAAGTAGGCTTCAAGTCTGACCTCTCAGTAAGTGGCAAGCTCCCAGCCTCTGGGCCAGAATTCCTCCAGAATCCAGTTTCCCGTGTCCGGGGCTCACAGGTCCTTCACCATAATGTTCTCTTTCTGAACTCTTCCAAGCACAAAATTTTCACTTTGTGTTCTTCTTAGGACCTAAGCAGAAAGCAGCCCTTCTGAGCAGAAAAATTAGCTCGTTTTTTGTGTGATAGAGCAGAGCCAGGAAGTGCTCCGCCTGATTTTCTAGAGGCCCCAGCTGCTGGCTTCGATCACAGTGAAGCACTTAGATGTGGACAGGTGTGAAAGTCAAGGGATCAGCCTGGGGAATTCGGAGCGGCTCTGGTTCAGCAGAGCAAATGGGGGAACAACAGGTGTCTGCAGATGCTCCGACCCAGGAAGACACTACACCATAGCTCACTTCAAGATTGAATTCTCATGAAATCGGTCCTTTTGTGACACCCTTCCCCAACACACTCTGGTTCTCCATGGGGCTCTAGAAATTCTGCATCCTGAGGCCTTCTGCCAGCCTTGGT